GGAAGCCTTTTCTCCTTCCTCTGTCCCCACATGTGATAATCCTTGATTTTCCTTGAAGTTTCTGCCTCACTTATTTTACTTGAATTTCAACTCAACCTGCAGATTATTTCTCTTTATAACGGAGCCCTCTAGATGACACAGCTGGATTTGCAGGTGCCATGGGGAGAGAATGCCTGGCCTGCATGTCTTGGCCATCAAGAGCACGTTGAGATAGCCCACGTTGGCGACCCCAAACTCACCTGGGGTTAGTCTGCTTTATCTGGGCAAGTTTGTAGGTGCTTTTGGGGTCAGACAGGCCAGTGGAAGTTAGGAACTAGTTCTGGGACTTGAGCTGACATAGAGCTATATTTGAGGTTGATTTGGGGAAATAGACCCATATCTGATCTTCTCCTGGGAGGCCTCGCAGCCATCCAATTGCACTCCTATGTACAGTTTCAAGCAACTTTTTGTGCCTCACTCTTAAAAACAAGCAGGTATCCAAGCTACCCGTTGTCCACCAGTCTCTTTAGCTTCATCCCAGACATCCCTGTCCATTAGCCCTCCAAAAACACACCACTTCCCCACCGTAAATCCCTACTTCTGAAGCCTCAGGGACTGTCTGCTGCCTGCTGAAACGAGTAGGTACCCTCGGTTTTGTTTTCATTCTATAGCTGCCTTCCTGTGAACCAGGCACTACTCATCAAAGGGACGTATTTCCTCTTCCTGTATCATGTCTACTAATGGAGCTTTTTTGCCTTTTACTCTCCTGCCCCTTTCTTAAATGCTATTCCCAAGTTTTGCCAAAAATACTCTATCCTTCCTCCTTGGCCCACTCTGAACCAGGCCCTTTTGCCAAGTTCTCCCTGGTTCCCCCCGCCCGTCCCCCTTGTGTTGTAGCCCTTATGGACTGTAGCACTTTTGTCACTTGTCATTTATGATCTGAAATTCTTATCCTTTCGTGTCAATGCTCAGATTTAGCTAGAAATTAGTGATCACGCACTGACCACCAGGGGCTATGCTAGGCACGTTCATGTTCTGTCTCTTTTTCCTCTCCACGATGCCTCTTCAGTCCTGCAGAGTGCCCATTTTACAGATCACACAGGTCCCGGGAGTCAGGCGCTTTGCTCGGGTCACATGGCTCTTCCCAGTCCACTGCAGCCAGTAGTGTGCGCTGAGGTCCGCACTAAGGGGAAGGCTGCGGTCAGGCCAGTGTCTCTGTGTCTTCTCTGCTGTGATGGGCACTGCTTCAGAATTTGTGGTTGAGGAGCATCGCCATGGGCACTGGGAGGTGCCGGCCCAGGGCTTGGAGTGCAGGCTGTGGAGGAAGAAATCCTGCCGTTCAGACCTGACCAGCTGTAGTAGGTGTCTGGCGGTGAGACAGGGCGCGGGGTGGGGGTGGGGGGAAGGAGTCACGTAGGGAGAAAGACCAGGCCCAGGAGGCCTTCGACAGGTGCTGCCTTTGTTCCAGGAGGCATTTGGGAGGATCCGAGCTTCCCTGTTTGACGCTGAGCTGGCTTTCCTCTCTCTGGTCTTTAGTTCCCCATCTGACAGGTGCGGGATTCTAATGCGAGGAGCCTCAGCTGTGCCTCCCCCAGCCTGCTCTTCCCGGGTCCTGCACTCTCCCTGCCTGGCGGGGGGGATCTTGTCTGGAAGATGGAGCCCTGCGGTGTGTTTGTAGGAAGTTGCTGCACTGTTCGATTGTGGTCCTGCAGGGAACCAGAGGGGCCACACAGTTTTCACCCCACTTCTTGGTGCCTCTTCACCCTTAATTACCTGTATTATATTTTCAAATGCATTGGTAGATGGGGTACATTCTCTCTCACCTTTGCTTACAGACATTAAAGTTTGGATGTTTGCTTAGGGTTATAAAATAGAATTCCCATTTTTTTGAGTGTGAGAACTTTTCTATGCCATTGCCCCCTTTGTCCTTCCGTGTTTCTCCCTCCTTCCCTCCTGTCGTCCGTCTGTCTGTCTCCCCTGGCCTCCCTCCTCCCCCCACCCCCCTAATTCTATTTCTTTTCATTCAGCAGGAGTGCCTCCTGGTTACTCATCATCTCAAAGAGTTGGCTTTGTCATCGTTAGAGTGGGCTTCCTAGTTCCCCTCAGCTGGCTGCTGCACGTGTTAGGGGACATGCCCCGTGCCCTGCGGTCAGTCTCTGGGCAGTGAACGGTAGCTTCCTTTCTTCCTCTGTGCTGCTCCATCTGCGTTAGGCATTGATTTGCCTGAACTGGTGGAGGCCTCTGGGCTCAGGTGCCAATCACCTGTCAGGGCAGCTGAACGGGACCTTTTGAAGGTAGGGTCTGAATGCCCCATTGCTTTCTTTCAGTCATCGAGTATGATTCTGCTGGGGCTCCGTGTAGAAGGGGTGGACTTAAAGCTGCTTTCTGTGTGTGCCTTAAGCTCTTTGGACAAAGATTTATAGAAGTAGGAGGCATTTGTGATGTTATTAATTGGCGGCAGCTTGAAACGGACCACCCTGGGTTGAAAATAATACAAGTGTCCCCAGATGCACCAGGAACCCCCTGTTCCTGTGTTGAAGTGTGTAGTAGGTCAAGACGAGAGGACCCGGGAGCCCTTTCCCACTCTGGTTTCCGTGGCTCCACAGCTGACCTCTCTTTCAGGAGCCCTTTCTTTTTGTTGGGCTAATTCCTGCAGCAATCCTCCCCACAGCTCATTTCCCCAGGCTGTAAGCCCAGGCGACCAAGGGGCCCTGTGGCCGGGAATTATTGCCACAAGCAGGAAGTGTTTAATGGTTTCCATTTACTTTTAGTTGGGAGAGGAAAGGCTGGACTTTCCTTACAATAGAGGCCGAAAATCAATGCGACTGCACAGCCCACTTTCCCTTGAGGGGGAATCCAGAGCTCCGTAAAGAAACCAGTGGTCCTTTCTTGAAATTCTTTTGCCACCTACAGAAGGAGGGGGAGTTTCTGAACATATATCTTAAGTCAAAGCGATGTGTGAGATCATGCCTGGCTTGTGAAGCCAGTCTGAGGACTTGTGTGACTGAAAGGGTGCGCACTACCGTCGTGAAGCAGTGAGCTGTCCATGCTCATGTTCTTGCCGGCACCTTGTGCTATGTTTTAATGCTTTATTTTATAACGCAGTATTTCAAATGCTACTTTGGAAATCAACAGTATAGTAGCCAAGAAACATACAAGGATCTAGAAGAACTGAATAATCTATCTGCTTTCATCCCTGGAAGAGAGTTCATACATTTCTTCTCTCATATAGATAATATACTTATAAAAATCCAGCAGGTATCCATCAAAAAAGAAAAACTCTTAACACTTTAAAAGTAGAGTTTCTAAAGGCTTTAGTCATGATTCTAATCCAGTAAAACCTAGAAGTAAGTGAGGCTAACCCCACTCCCCAGCCCAATCTTGACTATTTAGAAATGAAACATGTACTCCTGGATAATTATTGGATTGAGGAGGGAATCAAAAGGGAGATGAAAAGAACACTTTATATTAAACCTGTGAGTCATAGCCAAAGAGGCATCCAGAGGAAGATGTATAGCCTTAAATATCTTCATTATCAAATAAGTAAGAGAAAATAAAGACTATAATAATCATTTTTAGAAGTTTGGAAAAAGTGCAACAAATTCAACCAAAAGAGAATAGAAGGAAATATAAACAAAAAGCTAAATTTAGTGAGATAGAAAATAGACAACATTAGGAAGGAATATAAATTTAAATACTGGTTCTGGGAAGAACTAAATATAGGGATTTAACCTCTATATTGTATGATCCAAGAGAAATGTCTGAGCAAATAGCTGCACCTTCATTCAGCGCAATATGATGCAGCCACTAAAATTGTGAAAAGCATTTGTAAGAGGGTTGTGCAAAAAACGTTTATGCCAAGTGAAAAAACCTGAATCAAAAACTGTATTATAGAATGATTCTAACTACGTGATCGCAGTCTCCCATCTCCCTCCTATCTCCCAGTTCTGAAGAGAAGTAAGTCCAGGAAGAATACATTAATATATCGCAATGGACATAAAGTAGTGATACATGTTATAACACAGACGGACCTGGAAAACACTGTGCTAACTGAAGGTCACAAAAGCGTGGTCACAAAGGATCACATACTGCCTGATTCCATTCAGATGCCATTTCCAGAGGAGGCAAATCTACAGAGACAGAAAGAGGATTTGTGCCTGCCAGGAGCTGGGGGGGTAACTGCTGAAGGATATGAAGTTACTTTTTGGTGTGAAAAGGTGCCAACATTGTGTGATAGCTGCACAACACTGAATATACCAAAAGCCATTGAGTTGTACACTTTAAGAGAGTGAGTGGTATGGTCTGTGAATTATGTCTTAAGCTGCTATAAAAAGAATCACAGTGGTTATCTCAGGAGATGGAAATGTGGGTGATTTTCCTCTTAGTGTTCCACCCTCTCCTAGAATTTCCAGATTTTGAGATGTAATTCTGTATTACTTGTACAATGGAAACATAATAAACTAAAAAAAACCTTAAAGGAAGAGTATTTTAATTGGCTGTTTAGCAAAAAGAGCCATGAAGGGAAATCTAGCCCTACCTCCAAGAAGGTGAGGGGAGATCTACCATCCTAAAATCTGGAGGTGGGTCATCAGGGATCACCGAATTGTCAGCCTCGGTTACATACATGAAGTGTCACAGGGCTGTTCTTCAAGTCGAGGAAAATTAAGTGTATTTGGGATCTTTAAGGGACAGGATCAGATCTCAGGAAAAAGCTCAGGGAGGGGCTCTCTGAAACCTGGCTGTGGCTCAGAGCCAATTTCTAGTAAAACGTGCAAAGAGGTGTCAGACTGCTCTGGGAGTGCTGAATTAGAGAAAGCTGTTACTTATACAACTTCCTGTAATTGCCCGGCAGTAGTTGCATCTGAGAGCCGCCCTCTCCTCTTGGCTGAGTGGGACACACACGACCCTCCCCTTCTGGCAGCAGACTTCCCTTCTACCTTTGGGCTTCATGTGTGGGTCCGTCTTTTTACGTGAAACTGAAATGCCGTTTTAAACAAAAGACTCCATCGTCTCTTTTGAAGATGGGAAACTCCTACGCTGGACAGCTGAAGACTACGCGGTTCGAAGAGGTCTTGCACAACTCCATTGAGGCCTCCCTGCGCTCCAACAGCCTAGCGCCCAGGCCCGTCTTCTCCCAGTTGTACTTGGAAGCCGAGCAGCAGCTTTCTGCTTTAGAAGGTAGGGGATGCCTTTGTGTATTTCTTGTACCATGTGCAGAAATGCTAGCAATGAAAGCTGAAACTCTTTCCTCTTCTGCTCTATGTAGAAAATGTTGAGTCCAGCAGAAAAGAATTATTAGAAAAAGTTGCACATAGGTTCCTACTTGGCTTAATCTAAGTTTTAGGCGTGAAATTGCAAGACATATGTTTGCGCTATTAGAAAAAAAGAAAAGGGCCATGTCACACTGTTCTGAATTGGTTATTATACTCTTATTAAAAGATTTGACGTCTTCACTTGCATGAGTAAGAAATATTAACGTGCTTTTGACCCTCTGTTATGTTTTTTTCCTTGTCGGGGGATTTACGGTCATATCTCTGCAAAGTAATCTAGATAGCTTCTTTGTAATAGCAAATACAGTATTCTCTAGAAACTTTAAAAACCAAGACCAAACCCTTATGGATTTAATGTGCACCAAGAGCAAACTAAATATTATATTCAGACTTGGGGACAACTTCGCTGTTTGCTTAATAATCCAGAGAATAAAAAGGTTGTATTTTTCAACCCTTCATTTGTATTATTAATAGCCATGTATTTTCATGTCTAAAGAACCCCTCCACCCCACCCTCACAACGCATAGTATGAGACCGTTACTGTTACGGAAGTTCTTCTTGTCAGTTTATGTCTCTCAGTTGACTGTCGACTCCACTTAACTGTTGAAACGAAAGGAGGCTGCCATCTGAAACAAAAGTTAACTAAGAAAGCACGCCATGTGCCGGGTCGTGTACTGGGGTGGGTGGTGCTGTGTGTGTTGATGGGTGTGGTGCAGGGTGGGTTGCATATAGGACAAATCTGTGGGATTCATGATAGGCCCTTCTAGCTGGGGGGCATTCCTTAAAACGTCCTTACAGGGTTAACCATGCAAATAGCAACAGGAAGAACATAAAAGAACTGGATCAGGGCCTGAGAGAAGCTAGACTGTTATCAAAGGCACAGATTAGGGAAGCCAAGGATTCTGGTGTTCACATTGAAAGCACTACCGTGTCCTGGTGTGGGAAGCATTACTGTGGCAGTGTGGGAGGTGAGAGGTCACCGGAGGAGAATTTATTGACTGTGTTTCTGGCTACCTGAGGGTCTTCTGTGACACAAGTACTAAAGAGTCACCCTTAACTTCTTCTAGTATTGAAAGATGTTATTGCTAATGATAAATTAATGACATTTATTTGAATGACACATTTGAACGGCACCTTAAAATCTACAAAGTGCTTTTTCACTACCACCAGCTCAAGTAATTAAATTGCATGAATTGGGAAGATGAAGATTGGTTTGCTTGACTTTAAGTGAGTCACTGGTGCAGGGCTGAGTCCTTAGCTTTGGTAGCTCTGTGATGAAAAGCAGCGGACAGGTGGTTAAACCACATGGGGCTGGTCCCCTGAGGAGAGAGGAGAAAGCCCTGGGAGGCTCCCCGGGGGCTTTGCCTCATGCCCAAGATCTCCCTGAACTATCTTTCCTGGCCTCTAAATGGGGGCTGTATCTTGAACGTCCTGCTGACAGGGTGTTGGGCACGTGGCACTTTGCAGGAACAGACAGTTTTGGGGCTGAACTTCTCATGGCTCTGTGCTGAGTGCCGGAGGTGCCCTGCCTGTTCTGCCCTCGAGTTGGTATGAAGACCAGAGCAGGGCCTCTCCATGATTTTCCCATTTGTCCAGCAAACAGAACAGAGAAATCCTCTGATATTTTGTTTTTCTAGTGCAGGGAGGGTGGGGGATGGAGATTCTTGAGTTTGCTAAATGTCACCATAAACTGAGCACTGAGCTGAGCCCCAGTTGTGCCTCATAAAACTCGGTGCAGACAGCTTGTCCAGGCACATCTTGTTTTGTCTGTCTGTCGGGGTCTCTTATCTTCTTGCCATCCTTCCTCAGACGGTAACATTAAAGATGATTTTTATGGCCAGGGTGCTTTTATACTGAACACCCCTTGTCTCTTAACATTTGCTGTATTTGTTAGGGTGATTCAGCAGGGGCCTTATGACTTTGTTCTCTGAATTAGGGGTTAAATCACCCCTTCTATGGGGAAAACCTCTTACGTGTTATTTATTTTTCAAAAAAAGACCAACCAGGTAGATCAAATACCACCCCAGAATTTTGAGATAAGTATGTACTAACTAAACAAGATGCAGATAAATTTCTGTAATCCAAGATACTCAGAATGTCACAGTTTCTTCTCATGGAAAGAACAGAACTAAAATGAAGAGCCCCATCCTCTGTGCAGTGATGCGGTAGGATCTGTGGGTTTGTGTTTCAGCGCTAAGGTCCTAAGCTCCCCGTCCAGTTGGTTTTGTCTGATGCCATTTTAAAGTTATCTTCCTGCCAGGAGACCTTGGTAAACAGTCTGGTTTAGTCTGCTGCTGGTTAAGATGTCTCCTCAGCTCATTGTTGGCTGGCTGATCCCATCAAAGGTCCTGGAATGTCTGATGTAGACCTTTGACCTTTACGGTCTGCTTTCTTATCATTGGATTTTGAGCTCTTTCTTTGACTTTCCAAGGCTTAACACCCTCCTTTTTCCTCTTCCCTGAGAGTCTGAATTCCTGTTGTTGTTTTTTTTTTTTTTGACTTAGCAGAAAAACATGCAGGCATTCCTGTGTGTTCTTGCCCCTTTCCGCTCTGGTCTGGGTGTCTTCGCTGTCCCCCCTGAGCACTGACCTAGAGAGCTGTCAGTTTTGCAGCGAAGCTTGATATGTCACCTAGTCCATAGGTGGACAGCAGACAGTTTGAGGCCCAGGGACCTGTGCTGTATTGCTGGCGCCTGGGGTCTGGACCGCACTCTTTATACCTTCTGCTAAAGGCCTCCATGCCTGCATTTCATGGCAGGAAGGAAGCATCTGAAGGAGACTCCTCACATCCCTCCACCCATCTGTGTTCTTCCTGGGTGATCTTTTTACAGTCTTCCTGCCATCTCTGTGTACTCTAGGCCCAGAAGAACCGAGATACCAGGAATTCTTGCTTCACTTCTTGCTGTGACCCTCCCAAGGTCACGGGCCTTAAAGCTGGCTTGAAGTGTTCAGTTTCTTCTGCCCCTTGTCCCACGGGCACCTTTAAAGTGATGGCCACAGTGGGGTTACATTCCCGTTACCCTATACTGAGTAAATCACACCTGCATATTCTTTGCAACTCTGAGGTCCCTATTTCCCACATAGGTGGTCACAGCTCAGAGTGCCCTTATACAACCACCTCATTTTAAAGATGCAGGATCTGGTGCACAGAGAGGTCAAGTAACTTCCCTGTGGCCACACAGATAGTGGCAGACCCAAGTACTAAAACTTAAGTTCCCCGGTCCCCTGTCTCATCTCTTTCCACTGCACATGGTTTCATCATGAACCTAAAACCACCCAACCTGCTGGATGGAGGGAGGGTGTGAGAGCCAAGTAAGATGAATGTATCAGAAGTGGCAGCAAAGCCCTCGAAGAGGAGACCAGGAAGCATAATAACCAGTGGTCTCCTAGCCTCATGTATTTCAGGATGCTCGTATATTCCATGAAGAAATCTGTATACTACTTATTAACTGACATTTAAAGACAGACAAGTTGAAAAAGATTTTTGCCCAAATTATTAAAAGAAGTTAGAAGGATTATATTTCAGCAGCCTTGCAAATTCATTCTTCTGAAAAGCCCTTTTCTCTAGCAACGCTGGGTAAACAGGGGATAACCGTGTATGCTCAGGCCAGTTAGCAGATGTTCCTGAGCACCGCCTCTGCAGAGGCATTTTTCTGGGTGTCTAGATTGCAGAGATGCCTAAGGGCAGGAGCTGAGAGTCTGTGGGGATGACAGGAAGCTGTTTTGCAGCCTGAGAGAGCTCATGCGTCGGGGGCAGAGGGATTCCCATGATCAGTTTCTGGTTTGCCAGCCCGTCCCACATTTGCCTGTCCTAAAATACTATTTCACATGAAAAGAAGTTTCCTATAGTCATAACGTGCCTGGCCCTGTTCTGGAATGGCTTTGTGTGTGTATGTATGACAAATTTGGGTGTGTTTGTACTTCCAGTGATGTATATATCTGTTCTTCCCTTGGGGATAAATTATAATGTACAGCTTAACTTTTCTCTAATGTTACTTAAAGGCAGCTCACACTGTATTTTGTATTCTAAACCAAGCGGTGCTGTTTGTGGTCAGGACGTGAGCTTGAGCTTCAGGCACAGCTGGAAACATGCCAGCTATGCTACTTAGCAGTTGTGGGCGAATCACTGGGTGTCTCAGAGCCTCAGTTTCCCTATCTGTAAAATTGTCTTCACATTACCCTGTGGTTCCTCCCACACACATACTTTTGTAGTGCCTACTGTGTACAGGCTTAACTCTCTGTCTTTACCAACTGATTATATGCATCCTGAACCCTAGTGCCTGTGCGGACGCAGGCAGCTGTGGATGGGATGAGAAGTGTGCCTGAGTCCCACGTCACGAGGCCGGCTTGGAGCCTGAGTCTGTGACATGGGAAAGTTGACTGATCTGAGTGGACCTCAGTTTTTCCCTCTAATAGAAAAGGGCAATCATGCCCAACATACGGTGTGTTTGTCAGAACTGATTAGCTCTGAAATCCCTGAGGCTTGTTGGGTCCTGACTTCTGCCATACCCCTCACTCCTCTCTTCCCTTCTAGGTGGGAGCCGAATGGACAATGAGGATGAGGAAGAAGAGGGAGAAGGGGGGCCGGAACCCAACTGTGCCCCAAACCCCTATCAGATGCTCCCGCCGCCCGAAGGATGCTGCACCACAGATGGTGAGCCTGTCAGCTGGGTGGCGCCCCTGCTGTCCGAGCCTGTGGCCATGTGCAGTGGGGTCCCTGGCCCATGCTGGGCCCGGGGTTGTGAGCTGTGCCCGGCAGGGAGCTGCAGGCATGCCCTCCCCTGCCAGCACACTGGCTGTGCCACACCATGTTCTCGGTCAGGCTCACAGCCCCCTGCCACTCTTCGGACAGCCTCATCTTTACAAAGGGATTTGGATCCCAAAGGTCACTTTGCTACATTGGTTGGTTGAGAGCTAGAATATTTTTTCCCAATTCAGGTCTGCTTGCACTGTGTGTTTAACTCAGACTGATCAGTCGGAATAGTCTTTCGTATCTATTGGTACTTTACCATCGAAAAGACAGATAAATACATCATCTCAGGAATCCTTAGTATCAGCAATGTTATTCCGTTTTGCTGTTGAGGTTCTAAGGTGCAGGAGGCCGGGAGGGGTGGCCGCTTAGTCTAGCGATGAGAGCTTGCGCTCTGCACTCAGACCTGGAGTGACGCCCTGGCTGTGCCGCCCACCAGGCGGACCACCCCTCTGAATGGTAGTGAGCTCATACATCCTGTTACCATACCAGTCAGGGGGTGTTCCTGGTTAGTTAGTTAATTAATTAAAATGACTATTGAACCCCTGCTTTGTGGAAATATGTAGATATAAGGTACAAGAGCTCCCAGTTTATTGGAGCTGTTTAGGTAAGCAGACACTTCAGACATGATGTGGAAAGTGCTAATAGGAAGGGATGGGTACACAGGTGTGCCTGGGAGCACAGAAAAAATCCCTAACACATATAGAGAGTTTGAGGGAGGCTTCCTGGAGGGGACGGGCCTTTATCTGAGTGTTGGAGGACTAGCAGGAGTCAGCCTGGTGACTATGGGAGGGCGGGGGGAAGCTGGAACATTCCAGACAGAGGAACAGCCTATGCGAAGGCTCAGAGGGTCAGATTATAGCCCATTTGGGGACCTGCTAGCAGTTTATTAGTTCGGGGCCTGGTGTGGCTGGGCAGAGCTTGGAGAAGTGATCGTGGGTTGTGGGTACCCCGTGGGCCCTGTGTGGACCTGGACTTGACCTAGTGCAGGATGGCTGGCACAGGAGGGAATCAGCCCTCTGTGGGCTGCTCTTCTTGGGTAAGAGTGGTAGGGGAAGAGACCCCCTGGGTGCTTGACCCCAACCTCAGGCAATTTGCTTATCCTCCCCAAGATGACGGAGGGGAGCCACCCAACCCTGAGAGTCAGACCCGGCTCTATCCAGACCTCTCTCACCAGCTTTGAGTAAATGATTTGACCTCTATGGGCCTTTGTTTCCCTACCATTAAACCGGGAGCAGAAGCATTTCCCCCAGTGACCGAATGAGAGCTTCGCAGAGCTTTTCCTGGCCTTGGCCGGCGCACGGGGGGTGCTGGCCCCGTGCCTGTCAGCCTCCCCGTGCCACAGGTGTGCCTTCTCTTTTGCCCTCCACCCAGGGGCAGATGGGGACACTTGGGGGCGTCCTCCTGGGGGCACAGAGGGAGATCTTTTTAGAGTGCTGTAGAGTTTTGCAAGGAAGGCCTGGGGACCATCAGGGTTCACATTGCCTCTCATCTCAGTCGGTAACTGAAGATGCAGAAAGTCCTGGACGTGGGGCTGGACGTGCCCACATCCAGCCAGACCCTGAGAAGGGCCCATCCAAATAACCCTCAGCTCTTTCTCTTCCTTCTTTTTTACAGATATTTTCAGACATGAATTTTCTGAATAGGAAATATATTTAAAAGCTCTAAAATACAAAAAGTTCAACAGGGCATAGAGTGGAGGTCCCCCCTCTGATGTGTGTCCTCTGTGTCCTGGTCACGCAGCCGCCCCCCTCCCCCCCGAGGCGGCCAGGGCTACCAGCTTCCCCTCCTTGCTTGTGATGTTCGCCATTCCTCAGACACTTAAAATGCAGGGAATTAAAAAATACCACATTACTCACAGTTTCTTAAGGATTTATCTTGCGTACATTTTAATTGACCATCATTTGTCTACAGTGTTTCCAGTTGAGCTTCATTTTAATGTATATTAGATGGTGACAGCAATAGTCATAAAAATAATCAAGATGTGGTAAGTGTCATGAATAACTTTGGTTATAATTTTATCTCTTAGAATTAATTTTAAAGTCAACCCCGTCCAGAACTAAGGGTTGTTCTTGATGAGACCCAAAGTGGTCTCTGCCCTGTGCCCATGTGGATCCCGGTTGTGGCCCCATGGCGGCGGGTGTGAGCCCTGTCCGTTCCCTCTAGGGTTCTGCCAGGCGGGGAAGGACCTGCGTCTCGTCTCCATTTCCGATGAGCCCATTGACGTCCCTGCAGGCTTCCTGCTCGTGGGTGCCAAGGCGCCCAGCCTGCCGGATCATCTCCTGGTGTGCGCCGTGGACAAAAGGTTCTTGCCGGATGATAACGGGCTTAATGCTCTTCTTGGTAAGTTCCTCCTTCGTCTTTCTCTCTGGCGCCACCTGCTTATGGGGCAGGGACTAGGGAGGTCTTTGGTGGTAGGGGACAGGCCAGCTTTGGGGCCTCTTCGTCAGCATGTCACACTACCCTGTTTGTTTTTCAGGAGACTATTTGCGGGATGGAATGCAAATGACATTGATTTTACAACGTGACTAACCTCCTGAACAAAGCCCATCATTTAGCATTAATTTTTTTGTACATATATTCATCAAACCTTTCCGAAGTGCCTGCCTGTGTCTGGAATGGGATACAAACCCTGTCTAGACGCTCTCAGAGCCATGAGACGTGAGGCAGGGGAAGAAGAAAGTTGTGTTGCTGCCTCCAGAACGTTCATATTCTGAATTACTGCCAGGCACCCTCCATCCCCTTTCCCCTTTGGTTTATGGGTCCCCTCTCAAGAGGTGACCACTGTTATCCTAGGGTTATAGGTGGGCTTGGCCCTGTTAATGAGGTTTCCCACAGGTACCTGAGTCCCAGGATTCAAACCCAGGTCTATTTGGCTCCAAAGCGTATCCTAATTACCATCTCACAGGGTTCCAAGTCCTGGTCAAGGTCAGCATGGAGGAAGCCAAGGCTTGGGTCTTTCAAATGACTGCTGGTCCACGGAGGCCCTGACGTTAGTGCAGAGTTCAGGCCAAGCCATCACAAGCTTGGTTCCCATTTGTCTGGACACTTGGTGAGCAATTACGTGCACCAGGCCCTTTGCTCAGCAATTCCCCCATTACTAGAGAAAAATCAGTGGAGCCCACAGATCTGGCTTCTGGTCCCGCGTCTGACCCCAGGTCTCCATGTGGCCCCGGCCTCAGGGCCCTTAGCCATGACCTGGGGAGGCAGTTCCTGCATGTGCTTCTGGCTCTTTGGCAGTCTGGCCCCTTCACCTGGTTTGGGGTCTTTGGAGGGGAGCTGGGCCTGCGGAAGGGTGGGTCATGATCTGTTTCACACATAGCATCAGGAACAACCTTCATTATAGAAGCGTGTTTGGTTTTTAGTTGATGGGAAAAGCTTCTAGGTTATCTGCCTCTCCCCTCCGGCCCCCTTGGCCCTGGTTTCCTCTGTACTTTCTGTGTGTACAAACACTTAAACCTCCAGTTTTATGCCTTATATGCCCCCCAAAGCTGGGTAGGTAAACTCTGTAAGTGGCTATTTTTAGCATGTTTTTATGTCTGAATCCTTGTGAGAAGGACTGAGAGGGGAGGGAGCAAAGACTGACCCACAGAGGAAAGAGAAATGGTTCCTGCCACACATGGGGGGTAAACTCTGAAATAAGTCCTATGAGTGCTGGCTGGAGGGACCGGGACAGTGCCAGGACAGTGACCAGGAAGAGAAAATGTTCAGCAGGCCCATGGGCTTATGGTGACTAGTTCTTGAAAAGCATAATCATCACAGAAAGTCCACTGTACCCAAGACGCTCCAGAATCATTCTGTCTCAGATTTAGTTTACTTGCCAAGGCCTCTCAGGATGAAACGTGCTGGGCAAAGCGTGCTGGTGACTTGGGGAACGTTTGATCTGGCGGTGGCTGGGGTCTGCCTGGATCCCACCGCTCTGCGACTGTAAAGGAATGGCGAGGGCAGTAAATCAAGGAGGTCCTGGGTCTTGAGATGTGGAGACACGGATCTTTCAGTTCATTCACCACCAGCCTCGTAACAGCTTCGCCTCCTCAGGAGGTCAGTGCAGAGGAAGTGCTGGCTTTGTTAATTGCTCGCCAAAAAGCCATCAGAGGTGGGTAACAAGGGGTGGCTGGTAGTAACCGATGCTTTCTTCTTTTAAAATAACTTTATGCTCTCAGTTTGCACACTTAACACTGCTTAGGTTTCCTGCAATTCACCCTGATGGCTGCACGGGACAAGGTGGCCCTGCCATCCTCTGGGTAACTTTTTAGTGACCTATAAAAAGGAAGCTGTGGAATATCTAAGGAAGCAACGGCATTAGCCTACCGGGTGCCCTCCCCCATAGTTTGTATGAAGGGAATCTTATCGTAGTGATTTTGAATCAAAAGAGGGATTTTGTCTGAGGATGCTAAAAGATTAAAATCTAGGTGTGTGTTTTAGTTTTTTTATGGTAATTCATCTACATTGGCTGGTAGCTAAGACATGAGAAAAGAAAATATCTAGCTACAGTGGTCATTTTGTAGATGGGGATAGACCAGTTCTCTGTTCATTCAGCAGACAAATAATTAAGCACTTTGGGGATATATGATCTCACACTGAAGGTGGACCTTCAGCTCAGTTGAGACCCCAAAATCAAGTCCAACCTGGTCCTTTGCTTACAAAATATCAGATCAGAGATCCACACCAAGTATGCACAGAAATAAAACTTCCAATACATTTCTGGGCAGCGTGCCATAGCTAAGGGTTTAAGGCACTGTGGGAAGGAAGAAGGACATGCCAACTCCCTGACGTGACTCAGAGATGTGGTGCTTGAACTGGGCCCTAAAGGATGTGTAGAGTTTTGCCAGCTGGAAAATAACCACCACAGCAGCCAAACACTGGCCCACCACCACTTACCTGAGCACTTACCACATGTGAGAAACTGTTCTAAATAAGTTAAAATAACCCTTTATGGTGGATGTGTTATTATCTAACATGAAACAAAGAGAGGTTAACTAACTTGCTCAGGGCCACCCAGCTAGTAAATGGTGGATCCGAAACTTGAACCCAGATGATGCGGTCTTGGTGTCATACCCTAGAGGACCAGAGGATTGTGGGCAGAGGGGACCACGTGCAGAAGGAGCTTGGCAGGCGGAGGCATGGAGCGGAGGCAGGGAAGGGGTCAGTTGGGTCCCGCTTGGAGAGGGGTACCATGCAGGGAGCTGTTTGCAAACTACTGAAGTAGAGGGAAGAGAATAATAGTATCATGTATCTGTAATTCATCCCAAACAGTTGTGCACACATAGCCCATATTGTTTCACTTATAACTCCTCTCCCTTCTGAATTATTCTGAAGCAAATCATCTGTAAATATTTTTGCATGTATCTCTAAAAGATAAGAGCTTCTTGTTGGAAAACCAATACCACTATCATATCTAAAAAATGTAACAAGAATTCCTTTATATCAAATATGCAATATGTTTACATTTTGTCTTACTTTTTTTTTTTTTTACAGTTTGGTTTAAGTCAAGATCCAAACAAGATTCTCCCAAAGCATTTGCTTGAGCACTGAATCTCTCCTCTTTACAGGACCCTCCTCCCAGCGTCCCTTTCTCTCTCAAGGTTTTTATTTTTAAGAAACATTAGAAACGTTGAGAAAAAGCAAATCACTATTTTTAACTTGCATTTTAGAAAGATCTCGTGGAGGTCACATGAACAATTGATTTTTACTGAAAAAGAGATACTGAGGTGGGGGATCTAGTAATGAGCTTGTTGCAGGATTCCAGATAATTAGTGTCTTGGTCAGAGCGTGTAGAGAGCTTCAGGCCTAGGCTCCCTGTAGGGCCCAGCCCTCCACCCCTTTCACAGATGGAGGGCCGGATGCGCTCCAGGAGCAGAAACGCACCTCCCAGGCCGGGACTTGTTTTTACTGCACAAAGTACATGGGAAGAAGGGGGTGAGGGACAGGAGACACCGGGGAAGGCAATTCCAGGAAGACCTCAGGCAAGGCGGGACTGAAATTGGGCCCGAAGAGGAGGCGGGACCCCAAGAGGCCGTGATGCTCCCATTCAGGGACAGGCCCTCCCAGCCAGGCATGCGCTACGACAGGCCCCTGACCGGCCGCCCTCCTTGTTCCCTGAAAATGAACAGTGACTGGGGATAAAAATAGGATTGGCTTTGGCTCATTTTAACACATTAAGTGGAAAACAAACCCCAGAATGTAGCACTTAATCTGTGCTGTGCATACAAGCTGTGAAAGTCATTTTAGGACCCAGGCCTATCATCTTGTTTACAGACAAGGAAAGCAAAGTTCAGAGACATTCATTAACCTGCCCAAATTCACATGACTAGTGACTCAGGATTTGAACACAGGTCCCTCTGATTTCCAGGTTGGTGTGTGCGCACTGCAGTCAATGGCAGTGGTACGGAGCGGGCAGGAGCCTTCCTTCTGGCAGAAGGGGGACCTGGCCTGGCACCTGGCATGCACTTGCAGGCACCCATTGAGGACATGCTTGTTAAGCACATGCCACCTACAGCTACCACGTGTGGCGAGGCTGCGCCTACGGGAACTGGTGGTCATGAGAGAGAAATCTTTATGGGCTATTTCCCAGGCTGTCGTACACTGAAGAGATAGTGTCACCGTTGTGGCTGTTTGTGCCTGTCAGGGATTTGAGGATTTAGGCCGTGTTAGGGCTCTTTTCTAAAGAGATTATTATGGACTCTTAAGTCCTAAGGTAGGTTTCCAAAGAAAGTGGCTCTTTTTATTCTTCCCCAGGCAAACTTTTATTGCCTTTCAGATGTTTTCTTAAAAAATTAGAACTACCTCGTACATTCAGCTGGGATGGAGTAAACCATGTCCCCTGCCTCGTGAGGCCAGTCGGTGAGCCATCCTGTGTCTTGGTTGGACCACCGGTGGCCCCGGATCACCTCTTAGAAGAGCAGGTGGTTCTCCTGGCAGGAAATTGTCTTTGCCGAAGCAGGACGGCAGTTTGCTCGCTGGCTCCCTGCGTATTTCCTGCACCAGGGAGATTGGGGTTTCCACCCTCCTTTCTAAGCCACAAGGAGGAGTTCCTTATGGTCAGTGGTTCCCATCCCTGCCTCTGAAATGGAGTGTGGTCCCACAGCCCACGTGGCTTATGGGACACAGGCCTGTGAGCTATGTGGCTGGTTCGGGACGGCAGTTGGCCTTGGCAAATCCCTCTTAGCATCCTTGTTCTTGCGCTTCTGTTCCTGGTCCTCCATCTTTTCGGTGCTCGGGGTCAGAATCCCTTCCAGAGAGCTCTGAAGCTTTCTCAGGGTCTTAGATGGCAGTTGAGCTGTGTTTATCTCAAGCCTCCCAGGTTGGAGACAGAGGAATGAATAAAAACATTTGATTCTTTCTTCCAAGCATCTGTAGAAATCCTGAAGCGTTCACTCTGACAGTGACCTGCTTTCCTCTCTCCTTCCCTTCCGATCTTTACCGTCTGCTGTGTGCCAGGCCCTAGCCCGCGCACACACACTGTGTACACAGACGCAGTCCACGCCAACAGTCAGTGATCCTGGTCCTTGGGAAGCATGGGGATAGTTATGGGGAACAGACATGAGTTTCAGTAACTTTAACACTAAGGAAGAAGTTACAAGGGCCCTCTGAGCAATGTAAGGAGCCTTAGGGGTTTGGAGAACAGGAAGTCCCCGCCCTCTGGGTCAGGGGACGCTCTGGAGGAGCGGGTGTTCGGGCTGGGCACCGGGTGACAGGCAGGAGACAGGAAGAGCAAGAGTCTAGGGCAGGAGAGTGGTGGAGTGGCTGGGGGAGTCCAGGGGGACCTGGCGTAGCAGAATGAGGAACAGGAAGTGAAGCTGGGGGTGGGGGCTGGGAGGGTTCGGGGCCGCACTGAGTGCCATGCTTGTGGGTCTAGACTTCATTCTCACGCTAGAATGGGACACCGCACTTCCTGTATCTACTTTGAACTGTTAGCCTTTCTGGTCCTCAAGTTTCCCAAAAGAAGGTTTTGTTGTCCTGACTGACTGGTAGTTGTGTCAGTTAAGTTGAGTGACCTGTCTGGGTGACACTGAATGGCAAAAACGGCGCTGGCCCTTTGTGCGTGTCAGTTCCTTTCCTGTCCCTTTTAAAACAAGTAAACATAGAGCACGATGTCTGATGGTTCTTTGGTACTTTATCTGTTTGGTACAGAGGGAATAGGATTCTGGGAGGTTAAACTAACCTGTACCTGTCCTGTGGCTTAGACCAAGAGATTTGTCCTTATTTCTAAGGCCTTTTATTGCTTAAAATAAAATAGAGAATCCAGTAAGTTTCCATCATGTAGATGTCTCATTTCTCTGTGGAGGTGTTTTGAACCTTCACTAATGCGCTATTTTTAACAGTAGCCAGAGGTGTCAGGAACACCGTTCCAAAGCACAGATTATGCACAGAGCCACGCAGTCCTCATGGCCCAAGTTGAAACGACCTTCGTAAACGTGTCAGCCAGAGAATATGATAAAATAAATTAGCCTCAGCCTCAGGGTGTCCCCACAAGGACCTTGCACCATGGAAACCAGATGTCGCCATGGGCAGAGCAAGGTCTTGAGAAAGGCCTTCTTCAAGAAGTTTAAGCAAGAACAGTCATCAGGTGGAAAAGTCAAGTCACCAGGTTTCTCTTATATTAACCAACAGATGTATGAGTACAGTTTGGATAGACTTTACCATTCATGAAGGTGTTTCGTGCGTCTTCCTTGGATTTTAATAGCTCCCAGGAGGTGCTTTCATCCTCACCACCACACAGGCAGCCTTCCCAGAGCCTTGCTGATGGGAGCCTCCATCAGCTTCCAGAAAGGCCCATTCAGCCTCAGGCAGCAGACCGCCGCCGCTGTGACAACCACATTCTAGCTGAGTGTCACCACTCCCCTGGCTGCTAAGCCCCCAGGATTCACTTGCCAGGGTCCCAGCCGTGCATTGTGAAATGTGCTCCATTTCTTTTTAGGAACTGATGGGATCAATTAGCTTGATTCCAGGAATTTTAGACTCCCAAGGTATCCAGTGTCAGTGGTCTGTCCACTGGGATTCTGTGTCTGTCCAGGGCTGAAGGCAGTAGCGGCATGCCAGTTCATCGCAGGCACCTGATCAGTGCTGGCAGCTGAATTGACAGTCCTTGCCCTGTACAGTTTGCTCTTTGTGCTGCTTTAACATATGCTTCTAAGCAAGTTCAGTCTCCAAGCCTGCCTGGGCCCATCTCTATGACTCAATCTTCTTGATCCTTTATTCAAGTCAAGGTCATCTTGACCCCTGGGCCAGCATAAGGTGATGGGGACCTTGGCCCTGTGGAATTCTCGGGTTGGTGGTACAGGAGGTGAATGGTCAGAGTTTCAGTGAACTATGTATTATTTAAAGAGGACTTTGGAGGTAAACTGGGGGGTGTTTGTGGTTTGTTCCGTCTTCAGGTTTCTCCGGGAACTGTGTTGGCTGTGGGAAGAAAGGCTTCTGTTACTTCACGGAATTCTCCAATCACATCAATCTGAAGCTGAGCACGCAGCCCAAGAAGCAGAAACACCTGAAGTATTACCTGGTCCGCAATGCGCAAGGGGCTCTGACCAAAGGACCCCTCATCTGTTGGAGAGGCTCAGGTGAGCTGTCAGCCTGAGGGGTGGCAGTGAAAGGGCGTCCTTCAAGCAGGCCAAGGCGCCTGTCAGTGAGGCTCGGGGAGAGACTGCCGCTGGGCAGAGACAGCAGGCCAGTCAGCCCTGCGAATTCACCGCACTTCTTGGGTGACAGCTTCTAGTTTATAGTGTCTGCCTAGTTGTGTTGGACGTTTAAAACTTGGCAGAGGGCCACACTGGGCTGTGACTCCTTGTGACAGGTATTTGGGGCAGAGGTCCTCAACTGCGGGTGGTTTTTTCCCCCAGGGGGACATTTGGCAATGTCTGGAGACATTTTTGATCATCGTGATTGGAGAGCACCACTGGCATTGCGTAGGGGGAGACCAAGGCTGCTGCTAAACATCCCACAGGGCACAGGGCCACCCCTCCTGCTGCCCCCTCCCCTCCGAGAACCATCCAGTCCAGAATGTCTGGCGCTGTTGTTGAGAAACCCAGATTTTGAGAAAGCTTGGCTTGAGTCATGCTCCCTGCCTCCCCTGAGCCCCACGAGCAGCTTCCCAGGACCTATCCTTGAGCAGGTCTGGCTCCAGCTCCAGGAAGCTTCTGGAACCGGGTCGTCTCCCCCCACCCTGTTCCTCTGCATGGCTTGTGGCTACAGCCCACTCTCTGGGGAAGAGGATGGGTGTTTGGGTTTTCAGAGGTCTGACCTCATGTGCCCACTGAGAAACCCTGGCTCAGTCCTGCTGTGGAGGGATGTGTCCTGGGAAAAGCTGTCAGAGAGATGACAGGAGGCGAGCTGTTTGTGGGATGGATGCCAGAGTCCCTTGTCTGTGCCGGTTCACTTCTGGTGGCCTGGAATCTCCTAACCAGCTTCCTGGCCTGCTCTGCCACCTTTTCTTATGTCACTCAATAAATATTTCTTGAGCACCTACTACGTGCTGGTCATTTTCTAGGTCCTGGGGAGGCAGTGGCTCTTCCCCCTGTGGGACCAGATAAGAGTCTTTGGTCACTTGATGTGACCAAGCACCTCCCAGGTGAGATAGGCCAGTGGGAGTTAATCTTCCTGACAGAGGATGGCTCACGGGATGGAGGAAGGTGGGCTGTTCCCCTGCCTCTTAGTAACTCTGTTCTGTCCTTGGACTTGAAGGGCAGGCATGGGATGACTCATTGTATCATCTGTTTTTCTCCATTTCCCAAATGCTCACAACTGCTCCCACTCCTGACCATCAGAGCTGCCCCTCAGAGGGACCCCCCCATCCCTGGTACGGAGCCCCAGGGGTGGGGGTTGTCACATGCCCACTGCCTCTGGCTGCACTGAAGCAAAAACTAGGGTGGTGTTGGCAGCCTTTTACTTCCTAGGTACCCAGCTCTGCTGTAGGCCAGATTCCGGTCTGGAAAACTATTTCATTACCTGGTGGAGTGGCAGCAAATTGATTTGGGTGCCTGCCTCTCGCCCCGTAGAGTTCAGAAGCCGGCAGACCTCCACCAGTGTTGGTCCCTGTTCTCTCTTCCTGCCACCGGAGAGCGCCGGGCCTCAGGCTGCCTTCTCCAGCGAGCCCATTTCTGGAACAATCCCGGGCATCCCCGTGGGGCCACAGCAGGCAGGTGAGGACACAGAGAAGCGCCAAAGGTGCCAAATTCACAGGCCTGGCACGTTGCTGGTTCAGCTGCTTCATTATGCCAAACGTTCTTCGAGATAAGTAGGGGCTACGCGTTGTATATGATCTTTTTCTAAGTGCCTTTATGTTTCATCTTGCGTTTGTAATAGTTTGCAACACCAAATGTCATGTTTTCAATTTGGAAAGATGTTCTGCATTCCATCTGCTACATAACATGATCCCCTCGGTGTGGTGTGGTGTGTTAGGGCCCTTCTGCACCTGCCGGTTTGCAGCACAGGGCTTGCTCTGTCCTAGGCACTGAGTCAGTGCTGGGGCTGAGTTCCTGAAGGAGCAGGTAAGACTAGGTAGCACCATTCATCGTGTGCTCAGCAGGTCCCAACTCTACATGTGCATCTCATGAAGCCTAACATTGTCCTGGGAAATCAAGGCTCAGATGCTTGCCTAGGATTTCATGGACAAAAGGAGGTGGAATTAAGATTTGATAGCAGGCATTTCTGGTTCATGGGCTGGGCGTTCTGCCATCATGAACAGACCTGAAGGCATGCTGCTGTTATCACAGCAGAGAGGAGCCTTCTCAGGAACTCTGGGGGGCTGGTAGTTCTCATTCCTCCTGCCCAGAGGGTCTGTCGAAGGGCCCTGAGGGGGGAGCCAATGCCCTTGCCCCACTGTTGCTCATCACGTCAATAATGAAGAGGTCGCGCTGAGCTGGGAATGTGCTCCCTCCCACCTGGTATCTGCTGTTGCCTTCACTGCCTCACTGGGCCCAGGCCACCTGGGACCTCTGCCACTGTGACATCCAGAGAGACCACTTCTCTTGTCATCAGGAAACCTGGGTGTTAAGTCCAGTGCTGCCCCTTGCCAGCTGGGCTGTTTGGGGCAACTCACTTCAACTCTGAGTCTCTGTTTCCTCATCTGTTCAGCTGGAGAAACCCTTCTCTGATTTGCAGGGTGAGGGTGAGCATCAAGTAAGATTACAGTAACAGCAAATACATGGGGCTTACTACCCGCCAGGCACTGTTCTACACACGTTAATTCTATTAACTCATGTTTTCCTTGCAATGGCTGTTCTTACCCCTTCTGTAGGTGAGAATGCACAGGGAGGTTAAGTGAGTTAAATCAGGTTGCACAGCCAGTGAGCGGCAGAGCTGGGATTCAGACGCAGGTCGTCTGACCACAGGAATTCATGCTACTTCAGACTCTGGAGTGCCTCCCAGAGCATTCTGGCAGTGCCATGAGCCTCAGAAGATCAGAGCCTACAATTGCCCCTAGATTGAGCCTCAGGAGCCCCAGGACCTGTGAACAGCCTGGGCCTGGGGAGTGTAGACCCGGCACTTCCCTGACCCATGAAGTGCTCACTGTAGCAGGAGTGTGTGCAGTTTTGGGTGCATCTGTGCATCTCCTCAGGGGCAGGATCACCATGTCAGGGGCTCTGGGCCCAGACGGGACGTGTCACTGAAAAGTTGGTTCATACAAATGGAAGTAAACTTGGCTCGGCATGCCACAGGGCACCTTGTGGACTGACCCTGCTCTCTCCCTTCTCTCACTGCCAGGATGTGCCGCCAGTCACCCCTCATTGGCCGCAGCAGTGGCCCCGGCCGTTTTCAATGGCAAAGATTCCCCGAAGCACCAACAGCTGGCGAAGACCAACCCGGTGGCCGTGGCCCGGCCTTTGGCATTAGGTAGACTAGCCTGTCCTGGGGTCTTGCTTTCTCTGGGCCAGGGTGTCATGGTGGGTGAGGGGGGAAGCAGGAGCCACTGTGCCGTCACTGCTGAGCCTCCTGGGCTCCTGGAAGGAGAGTCAGGCCTGGGGAGCAGGTGGCCCTTGAGTCTGTGGGGCTGTGCCCCACCCAGCTCTGGCGCCAGGTGGGGCCTCAGCTTCAGCCACTGACTTGGGTGATGTGTGAGGAGCAGTGGAAGCCCTTTGTAGAGTGGGTGACCCGTCTCATTGAGGGCCTCATGTCAGGAGGGCTATCGAACTCTGGAGAAATAGGGACAACATGGTGCGTGAGAAGAATGGGGCTCCAGAATCAGATAAATATGAACTCAAACCCAGCCCTGTCTCTTATTACAGCATCTTGGACAAGTCTTCTGGCCGAATGTTCCCTCATCTGGAGCTCAGACTCCTGCTCTGGGGGCAATGGAGAGATCAGATGTGTGGAAATTCAGGGCCCTCTGGGAGCTCACTAAGGGCGCTGTTACTGCCACCTGCCTCAGCAGCATCATGAGCTGGTCTCTGCAGGGAGGGCTTCTTGGAGGCTGTGACACCTGAGCTGCCACCTGCAGTTGGGGAAAGGCTAATTAGAGATGGTCTGTGAGGCAGGAGGAATGAGGGTAGGAGGTAGGGAACCGAGTAAAGGGACTGAGCAGAGGCTGTGGGTCTGGGAGGAGCTGGAGAGGCGGAGCAGCGTGGGGACGCGGCCCTGAGACTCAAGGTCAGTGCTGTCCCCTCCGTGCTTGCCTGGCCGCCCAGTGAGCCAGTCTCCCCTCTGCTCCCTCCTTCATGCACACAGCCGGACAAACCTTAGGATCCAAGGCTGTGCACCTGGACAAGCCCCTGGTGGATGTTCAGTCCAGCGCTCAGTTTTGCAGAGAAGAGTGAGGCCAGAAGGGCAGCCCAGGCCTGGGGTCTGGGCTTCCCTGCTTCTGTTAGATGGCCAGGGGCCGCCTCCCGTGGTTGGAGCCTGAGAATTACCTTGCTCTTAGTCGGAGGAAGGACGCCTTTTCTGAACCGGATCTGAGGCTTCCCAGGCCTAACCAGCGCATCCATTTTGGAGTCTGTGATCAGGCCTTCATCCTTTCCTGGGTGGGAGGAACCCAGGCAGGCACCGACTTTTCCTGTGACTTTCTTCCCCGGGAGGAGCTGAATTCAGGGTGGCATGTTGATGAGGATGGCCTTGGGCCGGTGCTGGGAGGTGTCCCCTGCCTGCCCTGAGCCCCGTGCAGCCAGGGAATGGGGGCTGCAGGACCTGCCCTAGGGGTTGGGCTGTGGTGGATGAGCCACTTCCCTTGGAGGGGTGTAGGGACAAGAGAGCTGGATTCACAGTGTGGCGCTCGGCCTGCTGGAATCTGCCCCGGCCAGCCTGGTGACCGCCATCTGTTCCCCGCTGGAGAACTCCGCACCCTGGCTGCTCTGGGTGGTTCAGTATCCTTCCACACCTGTCCCCACACCCTGGTCACTCATCTGTGACTTGAAGAACTCTTCCCACCCACCTGCAAAACCTGCCTTTCAGAGCTTAGCTTGGGTGTCACCTCCTCCTGTAGGAGGGCCCCCTCCCCAGGACCCTGGTGTCAGTTCTATGGCCATTTGTGTCTGTGGGGCCATGATGTCCTGAGATGAACAGGGCTGTTGCCACCTGTCCCTGGCTGCCGTGGCCTAGGTGAGCTCACTGACACTGGCCCCGTGGAGTTGTGCTAAGGGCACAGCTGGAACATGGGAGCCCTGTGCCCACCTGCTCCAGGGAGAGCTGAGATTAATTTTAAGAAAATGCTTCTAAAACTCTAAGGAACATTTAACTCAGACCTGAGGTCTGTTGCTCCGTGGTTCTCAGTGGAAAAGGTGCTGCCCCCGTTGGGGATGGGGAGGTGCTGGGAAATGTGCAGGTCCTTTCCTGGTTGTCCCAGACAGGTCAGGGTGCTAGGTGGCTGCAGTGAGTGAGCTGCATCATGAACTGTCTCACCCAGAATGCCAGTGGTGTCCCCACCCCCACCAGGAACACTGTGAAAAATAGTTGGTCCACATGGATGCCAGAGGCATCATTTTGGGAGAGTTCATGAGCTCAGAGTCCACTGAGAGGCATATAAGGGAGCACCCCAAAGGGAAAAACTGCCTATGGAGCTTCCTCCATCCTTAGCACTGCTGCACAGAGCCCCCTCTGGTAGTATCAGTTCTTAGAGGCACTGGCATCTTAGGCTTTGGGAGTCCTTCCCTTGGCACTGGGGGGCAGGTGTTGGGGGAGCCAAAGACGTGGTCTAAATGGATAGCCGGAGCACCGCTGCCTCAGAGGCTGGACTGAAGGAGCCCACCTATTTGAAAGCTCTTTGTAAATGAAGTACTTTATGTTTTAAACTTCTTATTCATGTTATTTTATCCCATAACCAGTGTGCTTGTGAATGGTGGCATCTTCTCACATTTCCAGAGATCTGATTCTGTAGGTCGAGGTGGGCCCCGGGAGTTGACAGTTATAAAAAGCCCTTGCCGGTTCTTTTCCAGCTCCTTCTTGGGCCAGGCTTAGAGAAGTACTGCTCTAAACAATGGTTCTCCACCCTGGTTGTGAGTTGGAAGCACCAGGGAGCTCGGAGGTCATCAGGATGCCTGGGCCCCCCCTGGTGCTGGGACTCGGGTTTACTTGGCAGGGGCTTGTGTCCAGGCACAGAGTTGTCAAGTTTCCCCAGATGAGTTTGCTGTGCAGTCATGGTTGGATGTATAGCTCTAAATGTGAGGGAAATGTTGTGCCAGATGGGTCAGGAAAATAATGGTAATGAATTCTTGATATTATGAACAACCCACGAACCTGGTGTGCGTCATGCGCGTGCTGTTATCCAGAGTGGGCAGGCATGACTCATTAACAGCACTGGGTCCAGCTTCTGTTCCCTTGGTTTTTTAAATCTGAAATGAGCTGTCAAGGCTGGGGTGGGGAAGAGCACAGGTGGATCAGTACTGCCCCCAAGTGGTGACACTGCGGAGGTGGCATGAGTGCTGTGGTGGCTTGTCTGCAGAAACGCACATTAATACATTGGGATGTATAGATACTTTATAAGCATTCACTTTAGTCCCAGTCAAACCACCTCTTATGGTAGGTTTTATTTTAAAGATGCAGGAGCTAAGCCCCAGAGAAAGAAAGCTCAGACACTTGCACGACTTCAGAATGAAACATTTACAAATATGGACAGGATATTCCTTATGCCTAGATACTTCACTAGATGCTAAAACTGAATTTTTAAAATAACAATTAAGTGTTCGCCAAATCTGGAGCAATATTTTATTGACATTCATCTCTAGTGACAGCCTAATTCATATTCTGAATGTTGTCTAGGTATCTTATCAAACTCCGGGCCCCCCAAAAAACGTCATAAGGGGTGGTCTCCAGATTCTCCATCAGCTGCAGATGGTGGCTGTCCCCAGGGCGGTGGGAACAGAGCTAAGTGTGGTAAGTGACAACAGCCTGGTCAATAATCCAAGGCTTGGGTACTAGCAGGCTGCAGGTGGGGCGTGTGTGTGTGTGCGCGGGTGTGTGTGCGCATGCGCACGCACATGGGTGAGTGGGCAGAGACGCTTTTGTGTGTGCTGGTGAGCAAGTTCTGGGGAGGCAGGCTTTGGTGTAACGAAAGATCTCTCTCTCCGGTAAGAGTTGCTTAATAAGCTCAGGATCCCTGTATAGTAGCAAGTCCCCTGATCCTAAAGGAATCTACGAAGGGACTTGCCTGTCACTTGGCAGAGGACTGAAGAGGAGAAGGAGCCTGGGTTGTTTGGTGGGGAAGTTTGGACCGAGGGGCCTTAGGTATGCTTTTGATGTCAGGGTTCTGTGGCTCTGGGACATGGGTGCTATGGTAAGCAGGGCTAAGGGCCAGCTGGAGTGCTGGCTGGCAGTGAGGCCTGCTGGAGGTGGGCACCTCATCTGCTGTGTCTTCCTAACGCTCCTGGTGTGTCCCTAGAGAGTGCAGGCATGTCCCGCATGCCCCAGGTTGGCTTGGTGGGCCCAGCTTCAGCCACCTTTCCTGTTGTGGCCTCCGGAGAACCAGTGTCCGTTCCTGACAACTTGCTGAAGATATGCGAGGCCAAGCCCGTGATATTCAAAGGCAAGTGTTGCAGCGGGAGGGGAGGAGGCGGGGAGCCTGCAGGAAGCCTGGGCAGCAGTGACCCCGACTCTTCCCCCAGGGTGTCCTCCTGGAAAAACTCCAACCTTTTCCCAGGCAACGAAAGGGCTAAGCAGACCCGTCACTAATCAGGTGCCCTGATCAGATGCCAGGAGTTACAGAGCGTGTCACAGTTTCACACAAGCCCAACTGGAATTATTGTTGCGTGATGTGCATTTGCTTGTTCGTTCCTTCTTTCCTTCATGCACGCATTCACTCCTCATTCCCTTGCCAACTCCACCAGCTCCTGCCAGGAGCAGGCTCAGTGCTGAGCACCGAGGACCAGATGGGTCCTCAGCCCTATGCCGATTATCAGACTCGGAGCCCTGGTTCCATGGGTCATCCCGTTGCCACCTGACGCCACTAATATTTTTTGAGTATGGAATCTGACATTGGTTGAGCAAAGATAGCCACAGTCATGACATAGAAACATAAACAACACTAGATCAGGTCTCTGTTTTGTGACAGTGGGCTAATATATGCTACACAGAGGTCGATTTTTGGCTCAACTGAAGAAAAAAACAATCCCTTTCTAATGCAGTGGGAGATCTCGAAATGCGAGGATTCTGTGGGACTTGCTTATGAAGTACTCACAGGTGCCACGCGCTGGTGTGCAGTGATGCACACATTCAGGGTGCTTCTTACATAAGCCAGTACTGCATTTGGTGTCAGTAATAGAGGAGAGAAGGTGGTAGGAAGCAGAGAGGTATCTTACTGTTAACTGAGAAATAAGAGAGGGCATTCCATTCTTTTTCCTAAAAAACCAAAAATGGGCAGGGTGTGATTTTGTGTTTTGAACTGGGCTTGCGGCAAGGCCAGTAATCCCACGAGGCCCTACCGGCTGACTGAGACGGAGGTCAGTGTTCAGACGCAAGGCCAGTGTTCTTAGCACCGCCACGATGTGTGTGGGCAAGGCCCTGGGCCCTGGACACGAAAGCAGGTAGGATGCAGGGCCTTGCGCTGTGGGCAGGGCTGCCCCGCACCTGCTCTGAGCAGCGAGCGTTGACATGTGGCCCCAGCAGACCCTCCTCTCTGTTCCTCGCATCCCCTGCTCCCGCCAGTGCCACTCCGTGTAAGCTGTACCCCTGTTTGTGGTGTGCGTGCCTCCCTGGCCCCTGCCCCACTGCCACAGGCCCAGACCCTGCCTCAGCTTGAAGGCTGGCCTGCTGCCTTCTCCACTTCTCCTGTTTTCCCTTCCATCTGGGCCCCGGCACAGTGTCTCTGTGCCTTCTGTATGATGATCATCACATCCTTTCTCTTAGGAAAACCATATGTTTGGAAGCAGTGCCACCCAAACTGCCCTGGTCCAGCAGGACCGGCATTACCAGGGGCCGAGTTAGAGGTGTGAGTTCCCAGGCCCATCCCAGAACCATGACCAGGTACCATTCCTGGATCAGAAGCTCTGTAGCCGGTCCCAGCAGCCTGTGCTTTAGGAAGCCTCTCAGGGGACCCTTATGTGCCCCCAGGTTTGAGAAGCAGTTTCCTGGTGGACATGTACTGTCTCAGTCACTAGGGCCAAGCCTGGGGCCTGCACTTAGCATACGACAGGCATTCAGTGTTTGGTGAGTGAACGGGGCCCTTCTGAAGGTAAGATAGCACACACAGGTACCGCCCTTGATTGTCTCAGCACCCCCGTGAGGATTTGGTATTTTCATCATGTTTTACAAATGTGGAGTCTGGGAGAAGTTAAGCCTCTTCTTAGGGCCACAAAGCTAACAAGTGATGGAGAAGAGGCTGGACTTGGCCTGGGTGCTCCTGTCTCTGAGAGTTGTCATCAGAATTAATTCTGTACATTTGCTAGTGGCATTTGTCAAGTTCCATCTGCATTCAAAGTCTCTCGTCTGTACAGTGATTTGTTTTCCTAACTTAGCTTGCGAGAGATTCCTGGGAGGATGCGAGGCAGAATCCAGCCTGGAGGAGTCAGGGAGGTGCAGGCTGGCAGCCTGTCCTGCAAGGATCCCAGAGGCGTTGCCCCCGTGCAGTGTTCTGCAGTCAGTGCTGAAGGAGCAGCACAGATGCTGGATGTCCGGCTTGGGGTGCCTCCCTCTGGGTCTTGCTCACCTGCAAAATAAGGGCTTGGACTCAAAGAACAAGCAAATGCTACAGCCCCAGTCAGGAGCAAAAGCAGGTGTATAAGATCAGCAAGGGCTGCAAGTCCACGATTTCCCTGGAAAGGGGCACTGGAGCCACCCCGGGGGCGACTTGCCTGCCTACTTTGGCTCCCTTGCATTCAGAAATGCGCCCGTGTGACGGCCACATGGGCCCAAGGCCGTCGCCAAGTAGGTACTGTTTCTTCTTCCGCAGGCCATGGGAACTTCCCTTACCTCTGTGGGAACCTGAATGATGTCGTCGTGAGCCCTCTCCTGTACACGTGCTACCAGAATGCCCAGTCCGTCTCCAGAGCCTATGAACAGTACGGGGCCTCCGCCATGCAGCCCATTTCAGAGGAGATGCAGCTCCTGCTGACCGTCTACTATCTTGTCCAGCTGGGTGAGTCTCCCTCCCGTTGAGCAGAATAATCACTAGTGGTGGGAAATGCAGGAGCCTTGATCTCTGACCGTCACTTAGAACCTTTGTGAGACCACCTCTGGCTGGTGGAAATAAAATACAGAGAAAATACCCAGAGGTCACTACAGGGGTCACCAACCTGAGGGGCTGGGAAGTAGGTCAAAATCTATAAAGGTAATTCAAAAACAATTTACTGCCATTCAAGGTGCAGAGAGATAGCAGGGAATAAAAGACAGGCTCTGCCCTCAAGGAGATGATATCCTAGTGGGAGAGAGAAACAACCTCCAGGTGGGAAATGAGCAGGGTACAGGGCAGGGGTAGGGTGGGGTGTGTGCATGTCCGCACGCACACACATGGGTTTGTGTAGGGCTGACCTGGAGTCGCCAAGAAAGGCCTCTGTGAGGAGATGACATTGGGTAGGGACCTGAATGGCAAGGAGACCTGAATGGGGACGACCTGAGGGAGACGGAGCCGGGAGGATAGGCGAGGAGGGGGCACGGGGGTCCCAGGCCAGTGGGGGGCAGGCAGCTGCAGCAGAGCCAGGGTGAGAGGTGCCACGGAGAGGGCCAGGGCCTCCTGCTGCAGTCGAGTTCACATTGTAGATAAGTGAGAACTGACTTGTATTGGCTGCGGCTGTCATAACAAAACCCACAGACTGGGGGCTTAAACAACAGTGTGTTTCTCAGAGTGAGAGGCTGAAGTCCAAGAGCAGGGACCAGCACTGCAGTCGGCCGCCAGGGAAGCAGGAAGGCGACCTTGAGAGCGCAGCCCAGGGTAGCCAGGGCTTTGGGAAGGTGCTGGGAATCCCTCCTCCTCACCCTCCACATCTAGTCCATCAGGAAGCCTCACCCACCTTGTCCACGGTGCCTCCCTTGCCCAGGGCACCGCTCGCCCCCATTCTCCAGCTGTTAATACTGTGAATCCAATCCTATTTCTGCTCAGAACCCCCCGTTTCCTGTCACATGCTTTCCCCACACTTGTTCCAGTCCAAGTGACCAGCCCCACCTCTGCTCCCACCTGTTCACTCTGCTCTCGCCCTGCTGTCCGTCTGGAGCGCACCAGTCCACCCAGCGCTTGCTGTTCCTTCCCTGGGAAACGACCTTGCCCAGGACATTTGCATGACTTACTCCCTTTGCCATCTGAGTTTCGGTTCACATGTCATCGCTTGAGAGAGGCTTTGTCATCATTGTGTCTAAGACAGCATCCCCTCCCCAGTGCCCTGTGGCTCACTCTCCTGTTCCTTTGGGTCTTTTCCTTTAGAGCGCTACCACACTCCCAGAAACTATATTCCACGTGTGTTTGTTTATTTCAAGAGCGCTGCCTTGATGAGGATGTGTGCTCCGTGATCAGGAACTTCTGTGTCCAACGGCATGAGCAGCATGAAGCTGGCGCTCCGCCAGCATATGCCAAAGGAAGGGATGAACACTAATACGGGAGCCAGTGAAGCGGGGCATTTCGGGGAGAGGGGCTAGTTAGCTGAGTCCATGTGGCTGACAGTCGAGTGCAGATTGATTATTGTCCATTGGGTCTGGGCTTACAGAAGCGACTGGCAGCCTTGATGAGGGTATGAGGAGGGCAGAGACAACGCCACACCAGAGTGGGTTAGAACAGGAGTGAAGCGACAAGTGTGACGAGTACCGACGACTCTGCCAGGGAGTTTTGCTGGATGGTGGTGCTTCCGGGAGGGGATGTGGGTTCAGGGAAAGATTTTAAACATGGCAGTTATAACAGCTAATCTAATCAAACTGTGGCACAGCCCAGCGAGTGGGTGGTGTGATCACCACTTTTCAGTTCAGGAAACTGTATCATAAGAGCTCACAGCTCCGGGGCTGGTGCTGGCATTGCTGGATGGGGACACGTTTTATAAATTCAAGTGTGGTGCTCGATCCTGCAGCCCACCTGAGCATAAAACCTGGACAAATAAATCAGAAAATGCCCATAGGAAACAAGTGTTGGGAGTATTCCATTTTATTAGTCATCGAAGAGATACAAATCAAGCAAATAATGTATTCCTCAATTAAATCAATGATAACAACCCAAACAATGGTAGTCAGGGCAGCAAGAGGACAGTTAAACCAGCGTTACTGTTGTGCCACTCCTATCATGGTAAGATGACACGTTTATACCATCTGGACAGTCTGCTGTTGTGATTTAGCTCTGTGAGCCTACTGTTGAGATTTTAGGCTAAGGAATTTATGTTCTATACATAGAGATGTGTATTGCAGATGTATTTATAAAATGATTATTTGGAAGCAATGAAAAGATCAACAATAGGGACATTGCTGAGTAAATGATGGCCCCTCCATAGGATGGGACATTATGTGCCCATTAACTGTGCTACTTAGGAAGACCATACTCATCCTGGGAATGCGACTTTGGTGGGCGGGTAAGGAAAATAAGTGGGCCCTGAAGTTGTGTCCTTAGATCCTTACAGCTGTTTAAAACCTGCACATGAAAAAGAGAGAAATACACAGAAACAGTCATGTTTCTGTTAGGATGGGGAGGTTATGGCTGCTTGTATACACCTCCCCGTGTTTCCCAGCTGTCTTTAATGCGATTTGGCATTAGTGATTTAGATCGTGTTATTTTTAAATTGGCTCGCACGCTCGTACCCCGAGTTCCGGGTGTCTGTGTGTAGAGCTGCGGCGCGGGGTGCGTGGGCGGGCGCTGAGCCCCATCCTCTGTCTTGTCGCCAGCGGCGGACCAGGTGCCCCTGATGGAGGATCTGGAGCAGATCTTCCTGCGCTCGTGGCGCGAGTCGCACCTGACGGAGATCCGGCAGTACCAGCAGGCGCAGCCGCCGCCCTTCCCGCCCGCGCCCGGCGCCCTGGCCCCCGTCACGTCGGCGCAGCTGCCCTGGCTGGCCGGCCTGGCCGCCAGCTCCTGCAATGACAGCGTGCACATCATCGAGTGCACCTACTCCCTGGCCGAGGGCCTCTCCGAGATGTTCCGGCTGCTCATCGAAGGCAAGCTCGCCAAGACCAGCTACGTGGTGATCATCTGCGCCTGCCGGGGCACCGCCATCGACTCCTGCATCGCGGTCACTGGTGAGCCTGGGCCCGTGCCGCTGCCGGCGGAAGCGCAGCTGCGCTGATTTCCCCAGCCGCCCTCCCTTGCAGCTCCGCCCTTTGGAACCCTGGCGGCGGCTTTTTGCATCAGCCGGGGCCCATGATGCAGCGGGTGCTCAGCAGCCCTGTGGGCGCCCGCCGCTGCTCATCCCCGGACAGTGTGCGGAGTTAGGATTCCACTCCTCCTGTGGGTGGGAGGCGGGCAGTTCCCATTTCCACCTTAGAGAGACTGGGGGCAGCTTTGGGGTCTGGATAGACTGGAGGTAGGGGGGACCTAGCTCCACGTACTTGGCAGTGTGACTGCTACATGACTCTGCCCTCAGTTTCTTCAACTGTCTAATGGAGGTAAAAACAGTGACCTTACTGTATTGTGTGGTTTAGAGTCCCTTAACTCAGGAATTACAGCAATGCTTACTGAAGCCCTGCTCTGTGCAGCCACTGTTCCATGCATGGGGATGTAGCAGGGAAGACAGCCGAGGCCCTGCTTTTCTGCTGGGGTGGACGTCAGCCACCAGCGGTGCAGAGTGTCACCCGTGGAGGGCCAAGCAGGTGGAGGATCGCAGGGGGTTGGCTTACAGGAGGCCAGGGGAGCGCCCTTAACGAGGGGACATTCGAGCAGGGACCGGAGAGAAGTGAGGAAGCAATGCTGACACGGGGGTGGCCGCGGGCCCCCACACCACGTGGCAGCTGACTGTGCTTGGCCTGTTGAAGGGACAGTGGTCAGCCAGGGCAGAGGACAGGACCGTGGGATCGTGTGGGGCCTCAGAGGCTTGTCAGGACCTTGGATGTTTCTCTGCGAGCTGGGAAACCATAGAAGGTTTTGGCCAGACAAGCTGTAATCTGTGTTTTGGAAGGATTGCACATTGGTGTATAGAGGGTGGGCTGGGGAGGAGCATGGTGAGGGGGGCAGCTGCCAGAGGGTCCAGGTGTGTCTTGGACCAGATGGTGGAGGTGGAGAGAAGTGGCCTGATTTGGGGTGTGCTCTGATGTTGGTGCCCCTGGGGTGGGCTGAGGGTCCTGTGTGCAGTGTGGGAAGCAGCCCTCAGGGGCCACCCCGAGGATTTGGCCTGTGCAGCTGGAATAGCTGTGCCGCTGGAATAGCAGTTACCATTCACTGAGATGGGAAGGACTGCAGGTTTTTTTTGTTTCATTTTGTTTTTTTTAATTTAACTTGTTGTATGTGGAGCGGAGCAGTAGCCGTGATGGAAACGAGTTCTCTACCAGCTGGGCCTGGGTTTCAGATACACCAGAGGCCATCGGACATGAACCTGAAGTCAGGGCAGCGGTCGGGTCTAGGGACAAAGGGAGTCGTTACATTTATGGGGTTCGAAAGCCCAGAGGTGATGCTATGGCCCATCTGGGAGAGCAGAATGGGAGACGAGGTCTGAGCACTGGTCCTGTGGGAGAGGGGGAGGTGGAAAGAGGAGGATGAGGAACGGGGGTCAGGAGCCACGGGGGGATGCGTTTTGAGAAGGACGGGGCAAGGATGGGTCAGATGCTCCTGGCTGGTCAAGTAAGTATGTTGAGGACTGAGAATTGGCTCCCCACCTGTCAAACAGAACGGTCCTGGCAACACCATCAGCAGCCTTGGTGGGAGGTGCGGGTGAAGGAATCATTGGGTTGAGTTCAAGGGAGAATGAAGGAAGCAATGGATACAGACCCTATGGTGAGGACTTTGCCTTAAAACGAGCATTGAAATAAGACAACAGCTAGAAGGGGGTGGGATTGGGGTTTTGGTTTTCAGCTGGGAAATGGAAGAGAATGATTGGTACTGGGAACGATGCAGCGGAGAGGGAGACAGATGGTGCAGTGCGAAGAGGGTGCAATGCCCTTGCGAAGGAGGGAGGGGGAGGGGAGTACGCGCTGCTGCACGGCCGGAAGTGTGGCCTAGACAGGCGTGGGTGAGCTGGGCCGGTGAGGCAGGACTCTTCTTAGCGTGTCCCGCAGCACGCGTGCAGGCTGGAGCGGGAGGAGGGCTTGGCCCCAGAGCGTGGGTGAGGCTGATGAGGATGGGTGCCAGGGGGGGCCTGTTGACAGACTTGGACTCTCGGTCATGGGAGGAGGGGCATGAGGATAGGAAAATGTCCAGGAGGCCCCATGGATCTGCGGAGAGTGGAGGAGCGTCAGGGTTGGGGGTCAAAGGTGGTTGCAGAGTGGGGTGCCGGAGGTAGAGGACATGAAAGAGGCAGAGTTCTCAGCAGTGACCAAGGCCAGGGCGTGCCCGAGGCTGCAGATGGATGACAGGGAGTAGGAATCAGCTCCTTGGAAGAGACCATGTGGAGTGACTTACGTGCCAGGCTGATCCTTGTGTGTATTTTCTTCTGCCCAACAACTTCATGAATCCATTCTGTCAGAGCAAGTGGATGCCTACTCCCCAGCTTCACCTGTTGGTTAAAAAGATATTCTGAAGTTTAGCCTTTTCTTGATTAAGGAGTCATGGATACAGAGATTTCTCAACTAAGCTAGGACTGTTAGTCAAGATTCCCAACCATGATTCTTGACACTTGTGTGTGGTACTCATGGATATTCATGTTTCGACTTTTAAAGTTCAGATAATTTTGGCTCATCAGTACACTCAGATTTTTTGCCTGTTTGAAACCTGAAATTTTCATATCATTTCATTTACTTTAACAAAATGCACAGTTACTCTGCATTATCTCGGTTATCTTTTAGCATTCGGATCCTAAACTCATTCGGTGTTTTTCACGAATTCTTTATGTGACTGGAGTAGTACGTTATGCAATAAACCTGGAGTCCTGGCTACACGTTTTATAAACATCATCTTGCTTAATTTTGTCCTCTGGAGTGGATACGACTGTTTGAAACATATTTCAGACAAGGAAACTGAGGCTGGTGGTGTCATCCCAGGTTACCCAGCTAGTAAGTGGGGGTTAGAGTCAGGTTCGAAAGCCCAAACTCTGGGTTTTCCCTCTTTTTATCCTAACTGGTTACTCTGGGCCAGAATGGTTTATGCTATTTATTCATTTAACCAACACGAACACCTGCTCTCAGGCAGGCATGGTGCCAGTCCTGGGGGACAGAGAGCTTAAGACTCAGAAGCACAGGCCCTTCATCGAGGAGCTTGTGTGCGAGTTCAAAGTGGAGGAGCCCAGTGAAAGTTGCTGTTTATTTTTCAGGAAAATACCAAGCCCGGATTCTTTCTGAGAGCCTTCTCACCCCAGCGGAATACCAGAAAGAAGTCAATTATGAGCTGGTTACGGGGAAAGTGGACTCCTTGGGGGCCTTTTTTAGCACCCTCTGTCCAGGTAGGCTTGTAAGGAGACAGGTGCAAATTCATTAAGTAGATAAGACAGAGATACACAAGAAAGCAAAGGGGGAAGTCATCTTAGAGCCTGTCCCCGGAGCCTACGAGGCTGGCCTTGATTCAGCTGTGCAGGGCGGCACCCCCATCTGCGCACCAGCATTTGGGGCCTTTCCTGGGGTGGTCTCTGGCTGGCCGTCTTCCTGTGCCAGCTGTGGGTTTTTCTAGGTGGGGGCTTTGTGATTTATGGCTTGTGGGGCACACGAAGATCGTGTGCCTGCTCCTCTCTGTGTCTGCAGCCCTGAGCGCTGCCCCTGTCTACCCCGCACCCCTGTTGAATGCTCAGAGCCCCCAGCTGAGCAGCGTGTTCTCTGCCTCTTACAGTTCCGTGTGCTCTGTGTTGGGAGTGCCCTTCCCCTTCTCACTGGGCTCTCTACCCCACGTCCTAGGAAACTTCACTGCACTTCCTTCTCCAGGATGAGCTTGGACCCCCTCCTCCTGTCCTAACACCTACGGTATCATCACTTAGTTTTCTCTGACAAGTCTGCCTGCCTTTCTAGGTTGTGCACTCCCTGACAGCGTGGGCCGCGTGCTCTTTATCTGTTACGCCAGGGCCTGGGACAGGTGCTGGCTACGCAGCAGGTGTTCCAGGGATGTTTGTTGATTTCACTGAGGTGGATAATCCATCTCTCTTATTATGTTTTGAGCAGAGGGCAACATTGACATTTGGCTGGACAAATTTCACAAGGAAAATCAAGGCCGCATTTCTTCCCCGCTTACTGCCTCCTCTGTCACCAAGTCATCCATGCTGGATGTTGGCGGGGCACCAGTGTGCACAAGTGAGTGATGAGAGGGGCTTGGTGGGCACTGGCGTGCACAGGTGAGAGATGCCAGGGGGCTGGGCACCAGGATCTGGGCTGGCGATGCAGCATCCAGGGGTCCCAGGGGCCATGAGGAAGCGATGTTAGAGGAACATGCGGAGGCACATGCAGAAGGCCTTAGCATCAGTGTAGACACATCTACTTTTAATTTTGTTTTTTAATGGTCAGTCTCATTTTACCCAAAATGTACATCTGTACACTTTTCCTGAGATGGTACATTTCTCTGTAGACTTGCAGCTTATCAGTACAGTCTTGAAATATTTTATTCATACTAAGTTCCTGAAGAGCTGTGATGGTCTCCTTCTCCTGCAGAGAACTTGCAGCCTCTTCCAAAGTCCAGCCTCAGCATCCTCTTCCCTGGGAGGCTGTCCTGTCCCCTCCAGGTAGAGGAGGTCACTGCCTCTGTGCCCCCTGAGCACAGTTCATCCTTTTATTATTAAATTAGAGAAGGTGCGAAGTGGCGTGCAGCCCAGAGCAGGCACCTGGTAAATGGTGGTGTCCCCCTTTCCCTAGTCACTGTGCAGCGTGCAGACCACCCTAGCAGAGGCCCTAGGCGCTGTCTGCTCTCAGGCACACCTCACCTTTATGGGGGCTCTGGTTCCAGGTTACAATCTGGAGCCCCACCACATCCGGCCCTTCCAGCTAGCCGTGGCCCAGAAGCTCCTCTCCCATGTGTGCTCAATAGCGGATTCCAGTACCCAAAATCTGGACTTAGGATCCTTTGAGAAGGTGGACTTCCTGATTTGCATTCCACCCTCAGAAGTGACCTACCAGCAGACCCTGTTCCACATCTGGCATTCAGGTACGGGGCCTCTGACGGGCAAGTCACGACGTCTGCATGGAGGAGCTTCGATCTGCTTGAATTCAGATTTGGATTTCAGCGCCAGTCTTTGCTTCTAAAGTAGACAGGGAGAGTACGATTACTCGCATTTTATAATCATGAAACTTGCTCAGAGATAGGGACTTGCCCATGATTTCATGATCTGTTAAAGGCAGAGCTGTGACTAGAATTTTCACTCTGTCATACTCAGGCCGATGACCTGTGTGTTGATACCCTGTTCAGCTTAATATATTTTCCCTGTTCTTTCAAGGGGATTAAAATGTGAAATACACAGAGAGTCAATGTCTTAAACGATTCATTCCAGCATTGTCTAACATAAGGCTGGTGGCATTCAGGCTGGAGGATGATTTTGCTGGGGTGTGACCTTTCCCTTCAGTCCCACACGCCTGGGTCCAGCTACTTCACGAAGCCGGCTTTGCTACAGCCCCTCATGGGCTGCTGTGCACACACCCAGCTGCGGGGCAGGCCCCCCTCTGTGCCCAGCTCCTGCACAGACACTCACATGGCAGGCGTGCGTGGGAGTTAGCTTCCTGCTTCACCCTGAAACATCCCTGTGGCCTCGGGGCACAGCTCCCAGCTGCCCATATAGGAGGTGCTCATCAGTCGTCTGTTGAGTGACTGAAAAACTTGCAGCACGTTTGGAGTTTCTGATGTGTTTTTACTGTGTTGCAGGGGTTTTGCTGGAGCTTGGCTTGGAAAAGGAGCACATGACCAGGCAGAGGGTTGAACAGTACGTTTTGAAGCTGGATGCTGAGGCACAGACCAAGTTTAAGTCCTTTCTGCAAAACTCCTTTCAGAATCCACACACACTCTTTGTCCTAATCCACGACCATGCCCACTGGGATCTTGTGAGGTTAGAGTGACTTTGGCATGTAGCAGGGGTGACATTTTCCTGTTTTGAATTAATATTCATGGAGGATACTTGGGACTTTGGATACACGTCATGAAAAGATGAGTGATACTGGGGTTTTTCAATTGTAAGCAGACGCCGTGGGTGCATTGCAGAGCCTCAGAGCTGGCGTTATGTCAGGGATCACCTAGTGTAGCTTCTCAATGTTTCCATTACACAAACAGGCCAGAGAAGGGGAGCATCTTGCTCAGCATTGCAGGGCTGGGGTGGAGAGAGAGGGTGGTAGTAGTGAGCCAGCCCAGAACTAAGGCCCCTGAATCATAGCCCGATGTGCTTTTCTATGCCCCACACGGCAACGAGGTGCCACCTGGTGCAGGGAAGGGATCCTGATGGGAGCAGCTCAGCCCAGGCCTCTTCCTGCTGGAGGCCCCATTGGCTTCTCTACCATGGGTCACAGCTGGGGCCACCCTTCTTTGGGGGCACTTTTATTCTTCAGTTCAAATGAATGTAAATCTAGATCATTTCGGATGGTGCCTAGCTTGGAGCAGCATTCCTGGTTGTTTACCAGGATCAGTCATCTCTGTGATACTGACCTTGGAACTGTGACCTTGACATGGATGAGGGAGGAAGGAAGATCATGGGTCAGGTCGTGGGAGAAGGCTTTGGTTCAGCATAGATCCAGAAGTGTAGGGCTGGCCAGAGCATTAAAGATCACCTAGACAAAGAGTTTGCAATCTGGGCCCCATTACGGGCTTGGGGGAATTTGGACATCCCAAATTACATAAAAAGCTATAGTGTGAATAATCATTTTGGGGGTAGGTTTGTCAGGGACTCTCCTGATGCTCATTGCTTAACACCTATGGAGGGGGCTTGCAGTGTGGACGAGGCTTGCTTGCAAGGCACACAACCCACTTGCTCTTCCAGAGCAATGATTCCACCCCAGGAGCCCCCAGTGAGCCACCTTTTCTCTTTTGGCCCAATTTGATGTGCACTTGTGTCATTAAATTCTTTCCCCTAAATTCCCACCGACCTCGAAATGATCCAAAGGGGGTAAAAAATGGTAAATTCTGTACTAAATTTAAAAGTATAGGAGCAGGCATGGTAAGCATTTGGAAAGGAGTCTAGGGGAGGCAAGCACAGCTCAGCCTTTCTCTGTGGGACAGTGGCCTCAGCATTCCCTTCTAAAAGTTGGGGGAACAAAAATTCTGGGCTCAACCTTTCCTATTCATGGGCAGAGTCACAACCTTCAGTGTTGGCAAAGTCGGGGGCTAGTGATGAATTCATTCAGCTGCTGCTCCTCGTGAAATTGCAGAGCCTAGCAGTCATTCCGTTTGCTGTTTCTCTCCCGCCCCCTCTCCTCTCTTCAGTAGCGCTGTTCATAATCTCTATTCTCAAAGCGACCCACCTGTGGGACTGGTGGACAGATTGCTCAACTGCAGGGAAGTGAAGGAGGCCTCCAACATCGTGACACTCCACGTGACCTCCTTCCCTTACGCGCTGCAGACACAACACACCCTCATCAGCCCTTATAACGAGATCCACTGGCCTGCCTCCTATAGTAACGTGAGTGCCACCAGGCTGCTGCCCCCATGAGTTGGGAGAAATTCTGTTTAGTGAAAATCTTGATTAACTAGCACAGTTGGGGCTCAAGAGGGTCCAGCTCCTTGGATCTTTTATTCCACCCAGGGTTAGATTTAAGCCTTTCCTGGTCCTTAGAAGCCTTCCTGAAATACAGAAATACATTAGTTGGCTTCCCCATCTCAGAACATGTCATGTTTTGTCTAGAAGCCTTAGAAACATTCCCCTTTTTTCCTTTCCCCACAACCATAAGCTGCAGGGTTCAAGATCTGTTTCCTCACCCTGAACACATCCCCCAAACCTGGCAAGTTTTTAGTTTATTATCAGCCATTTTCTCATCAAAATAGAGCACAACAATTCTGCTCATTTGAAAATTCTGGGTGACTGGATTCTGGTTAGTTACACAGCAGTAAATAAGCATCACATTCTGGACTTCTTTGGAGTGTCTCCGAGTCATTTGAGGAACTTTTAAAGATACTGATGCTTGGCTCCAGAAGAGCAGATTCAGAATCAGTGGTAGTAGTTGCTGTTGTTTGTGCAGCACTTACCATGAGCCAGGTGGGCAGCATTCTAAGTGCTTCACCATATGAGTGCGTAGAAGAGTCAGGTGCTAGGATGGTTTCTGATTTACAAATAGGAAAAATGAGGCAGAGAGGGCTTGAGACTTTTGCCTAAAGCCATGCAGCTAGGAAGTGGTAGAGCCAGGATTTGACCCAGTCTGGCTGACTGCATAGCCCTCTCACTTAACCCCTGTGCTCTTTGAGGGCAAAGTTCATTTTAACAACCTCTCCAATTTCTCTATGCTCTGAAGTTTGAGGAGCTCTGATGTTATGTCAGGGGAATTTTATGTCAATGTGAGTAAAATTGGCTAGATAAATGCATTTTTTTCTGTTGATTTTAAGAGCACCCACATGCACGATGGTTGATTTGCCTATTTCTAAAACCAGTGTTAAATGGTTGGCAAGAGGCAATTTTAACATAGAAATCTGTGTGTTAAAAGACAAGGCTGATTTTCTTCTTGGAGAGACACCGGGGTCAAATGAATGGAAAAGTCTCGACTGATGGGGCCGCTCCCTCCTTTAAGTGTGGAGCTCTCTGTATTCTGGGTCTGCAGAGGAAAGAAATGGGTAAAGTGTCATCTGAGGGACTGCAGGGCCAGCAGTTTAGATCGAGAGGCCCATGGAGGCCATCTGCATGCCCAGCCCATGAACCTCCCAGTCCCCCGGATGCAATGTTTGAGTGATGAATGTTCTTTTGCTTTAGGGAGTGGACTTATATCCTGAGAATAAGAAGTACTTCGGGCTGTCGGAGTTCATCGAGTCCACCCTGTCGGGACACAGCCTCCCTTTGCTCAGATACGACAGCTCCTTCGAGGCCATGGTCGCGGCATTAGGAAAGAGGTACACATCTCACTCTGAAGTGACTGAAAATGCTCAGTAGACAAATGCAAATTTACTTTTATTATCCCCATTTTGCAAATAAAGTGAGGCTCAGAGAAACTGCATGACTTTCTCAGGCTACATGTCTAGCAAGTGACAGACCTGGCTGGGAACCTAGAGTCAGGCTGACTCAACCTTTGAGCCTTTAGCCCCTGTCCCAGCAGACCTGTAAGGTGGATACTAATGGTGCCATTTTACAGATGAGGAAACTGAGGCCCAGGCATGATAAGTGATTGCTGGCACTCACAGAGCTTATATGTTATGAAGCCAGGCCATGTTTTACAGATCATCTGATGCAAAACAAAATGAGTGGCTCTGCCACTAACTATCATTGTTGAGCTGGGCTCCGTCTCCTCCCTTCATGGCACATCATGTTTCTCACTTGCTGACAAAAGGATGAAATTAGATGTGTGTGTTTCAAGCTGTGTTCCAAGGTATCCTGCTTTGGCTGGATACTAGTAACTGTTATGATAAAACGGGTTCTGTGGTCGAATGTATTTGAGGACAAGCGTTAACAAAAGGATTCTCTCCCACGAGAGTTGCCAGAGCCTTCAGTGTGCGATATGTGCTGAAAATCTCAAGGAGAAGACTGGAGTGTGTGGCATCTCCAGTGCATTGTGGAACACCCTTTGGGAAACTAAATCCCTTTCAGCTCTAGGATGCTGATGGATTCAGGCAGGCAGTTCTCCACCTCACTGATCTGAGCGCTCATAAACTTGCTGAGGGAGGAAAAAGCCCCCAAGATTTTACCCTGAGGCTCTGCAGTCTGGCTTTTACCCTCCTCTGCTTCTCTGCCCTGCTCCCCAGCTTCTCCTCGGGCAGCTGACACACGTTGGCTGTTCTGGGAGCTGTGGCCACTGGGCTCAGTATTCTGTTTATCGCCTAGTGTAGTCCTCACAGCAGCGTGCGAGACAGGAGATACTGTTGTCCCCATTTGCCAGAGGAGGAGATGAGACTTGGGTTAGGAGACTTGCCTGAGGTCTTGTGGGGGGTCTGTAGAGAAGCCAGACCAAACCCTCGTTGCTTGGCTCCCAAACAGTGGAGCCTCTAGGCCATATGGAGCAAGGTCTTAGAGTCACTAGAAGGCCGGCCTGACCACTGCACTGCACAGCCTGGCACCACTCTACTAGTTTTAACCATAGACAAATCACTGGCACTCTCTGAGCTTCTGTACCCTCACCTATAGACAAATCCATGTTCCCAGTGGCTGCGTGGGAGAGTGTCATGAAATAACAACCACATGCAGGCTCAGGAACAGCTGTCTGCTGAGAGCTCAGGCTCCAATATCAGACCTCCTGGGTTTGAGTCCCCGGTCTGTCACCCATCAGCTGTGAGACTTTGGGACAGTTTCTCAGTCCTCTGTGGGGATGAAAACATTTACCTCATAGGGATGTTATGGGGATGAAATGAATTAGTACATGTTCAGCAGTAAGTGCCTGTGGCTCATCAAGATGCTCATGTAAGATGTTGCCCTCACCCCTCCTCCCACCCCCTACCCCACCATCACTGGCATCCCCATCGTCACCGTCACCATCTCGTCTACATCCTCTTTCTCTCTCTCCTCTGCCTCCACTACACTGCAAGTGCTGCACAGAGACAAACATTATGTCTCACTGAGTGGGAAGAGAATATCAAACTCTGGGCTGTTGATGGATAGAAAAACCATAGGAACTAGGAATCATTTAGCCAACCACCTCATTTTATAATTGTGGAAACTGAGGCCCAGAGAGGGGAAATGATTTGCCCAAGGTCACACAGCCTTTTTGTGGCACCTGGCTTATAGCCAGGTTTGATATTTTTTCCACCATGCCACATAGCCTTTCCTAGGAATCATCTGTCTGGAAAACACTTTTGAAACAGGTAACTTGGACAGAAGGAGATAAAGGTAAGAACACATCGGCTACTGCCTCTCGCCACCATGTGCGCGTCCAGTCTGTTGATTTGCCACGTCAAACTCACACCCCAGCATATGGCTGGGAAATCTGCTCAAGGGACCATAAATTTGGCACAATTCTACTTGGACTTAAAAATAAAATATTTAAACATTTAATAACTACTGTTTTCACTCTAATAGGTTTTCTGTAGAACTTCCTTCCCAAAGGGCCAACCACAAAGTCTTAGGGATGTAGGGGCAGGCTCTGGTCTACACAGCCTGTGCCTGCTCTTTGGAGCCAGGCAGTAGTTCCTGCCTTCCACGTGCCTGCCTCTCTTTTTTAAACAATAGCTTTAGGGAGGAATAATTGACATATAGTAAACTGTGCATATTTAAAGTGTTCAATTTGATGAGTTTTACATATGCAAACATCACTAAAACCTTTACCACAATTAGGTAATGGACAAGTTTCTTTCTACCTCTTTATAATTATTCCTTCCTGTCCCTCTCCACTGTGGGTTAGTTTGCATTTTCTAGTTTTATATGAATGAAATTATATAACACATACTCTTTTTTTATCTGGCTTCTTTCACTCAGGATAATTATATTGAAATTCATCCATGTTGTTGTATTCATCAATAGTTCATTCCTTGTAACTATTGACTGGTCTTGACTAGAATACTATTGTATGGCTATACTAGTTTATTTACTGGTTCATGGGAATTAGGTTATTTTCAGATTTGGCTCTTGCAAATAAAGCTGCTATGAAAATTCATGTGAAGGCTTTATAAAGACTATGCTTTCATTTCTCTTGGGTAAATATCTAGTAGTAGAATGGCTAGGTTATGTAGCAGGTATATGTTTATCTTTTTAACAAACTACCAAATTGTTTTCCAACGTAGTTGTATGATTTTACATTCCTAGCAGCACTGTATGAGAGTTTCAACTGCTCCACATCCTCACCAACACTTAGTATAGGCAGTCTTTTTAATTTTAGCCATTCTGTAATAGTTATGAAGTGGTGTTTTGTAAGTTAAATTAGCATTTCTCAAATGACTAATGATGTTGAGCATCTTTCATGTGTTTTTTTACCATTTGCATATCATCTTTGGTGAAATGTTTCATGATAAATTGACTCCTTCATTATGAAATGATCCAAAGAATATTACTTTTTGTTCTGATATTAATATACCTACCTCAGCTTTTTATAATTAGTGTTAACATGGTTTATAATTTTCAATCTTTTTAGTTTTGATCTGCTTGTGTCTTTATGTTTAAAATTGTTTTTCATAGGCAGCTTATAGTTGGGTCTTGCTTTTCTATGGAAATGATAATCTCTGCCTTTTAACTGAGGTTTTTAGACCATTTATATTTAATGTGGTTATTGTGTGGTTCAGTTTGATTCTGCTATCTAGCAATTTATTTTTTATTTGTCCTATCTGTTCTATGTTCTCTCTTTCTGCCTTTTGGACTAACTGAGCTTTTTAAGTTTCATTCTCCCTCCTTTATTAGCTACAACTCTTTATGTTATTTTAGTGGTTGCTTTAGAGTATATAGTATATATTTTTAACTTATGAGAGTCTACTTTCAAGTGACATTATACTGCTTCATATAAAATTCTTGTATTAGCATATTTCCATTTCTTCTCTCCCAGACTTTGTGCTGTTTTTGTCATATATTTCACTTATATATGTTATAAACTCCATTAACAAATTACTTCTTCTTTAGATAGACAATGTCTTTTAAAGATATTCCAATAATAATTTTTTTAAAAGACCTTTTATATTTATGCACATAGTAAATATTTCTTGTGCTGTTCATTCCTTTGTGTAGATCCACATTTCCATATAGTATCCTTTCCTTCTATCTGAAGGACCTCATTTAACATTTCATGTAGGAAAAGTCAACTGGAGATGAATTCTTTCAGCTTTTGCATGTCTTTAAAACTTAATTTTGCCTCATTATTGTAAGGTATTTTCCTTTGTTGTAAAATTTAGATTGACTTTTTTCTTTCAATACACTTAAAGATGTTTCTCTACTGTATTCTGACTTGCATTGTTTTAACAAGAAATCTGCTGTCTGTACCTTTGTTTCTCTCTGTGTAGTATGCTTTCCATCCCTCCCCTCTCCCCCCCACTGGCTGCTTTAAAATTTTTTAATTCATCATTGATTTTAAGCAATTTGGTTCAGATATGCCTTGGCGTCATTTTCTTCATCTTTCTTATGCTTGAGTTAATTGACTTTTCATCAAATAAGAAAAAAATTGCAGTCATTATTTCTTCAAATATATTTTTTTCTACATTCTCCCATCTTCCCTTTTAGAGTAATCCAAGAACATATTCATTAGATTGCTTGAAGTTGTTCTATAGCTCACTGTTACTGTTTTTTTGTTTCCCTCTATTTCATTTTAGATAGAAATGTTTTCAAGTTTACTAACCTTTTTTTTTTGTTATGTTTTCAAGTTTACTAACCTTTTTTTTTTGTTATGTTTTCAAGTTTACTAACCTTTTTTTTTTTTGGCTGTAGTCACATCCAGTTTGTTTAGTTTTACAAAAAATAAAGTCTTACATGACAAGTTCCTAAGAAGAGAAGAAAGAATTTCAGGTGGCACATGCATAAGTGTACAAACACAGTGATGAACTGAGGATAAATAGGTCCTTATGTCTGCTTATTAATCAGGACTTTTCCTTGCAAATGACAGAAACCCAGCTTGAACTACTTTAGGAAAAGGAGACGAATGTATTGACTTGTGAAATAAAAGGAGTTGAATAAATAAACCACAGAATGTCAGAGATGGAGTTGATTTCAGGAACAACCAGAGTGAGGTATTAAATGCTGCCAAGACTGTATTGTCTCTTTCTGGGTTGGCTTCATTGCATCCTGCTGCACACTGGCTTCTTCTATGTGCTGAAAACATCACTCCTGGTTGCTGCTGAACTTTACAGTCTCCAGCTTCTAGAGAGGGACTGATTCTTTTAACGGTTTGAAAAATCCCAAGAAAAAACCGGTGGCCTATCCTGAGTGAGGTACCCATCCAAGAAGGCAGCTCCCATGAGAATTCAGGGTCCTGTTCTTTTTCTGTATCAGGAATTTTAGTTTTCATCTCTAGAATCTGAGTCCTTTTTATACCTCCCCTTAATATGCTGAGTCTTTCCTGTTGCTTCTTAAACACATGGAATATAGTTATGGAAATTATTTTAATGGTCTTGTCTACTAATTCTATCATCTGTGCCATTTCTGGGTCAGTTTCTATTGATGTTTCTCCCTCATTATGGGCTATATTTTCTTCTTTACATATCTGGTAATTTTGAGAGAGTGCAAGACATTGTGAATTTAACCTTGTTGGGGGCTCCATATATTTGTATGCCTATAAATCTTCCCAGGCTTTGCTCTGGGATACAGTTAAGTTACTTGAATATAGTTTAATCCTTTCAAATCCTGATTTTAAGCTTTATTAGGTAGGACCAGAGCAGTATTTAGTTAGGATTACCTTTGCCCACTACTTAGGAAAAACCCTCTAAGTAAGCATTCTATAGTGTTCCGTGAATTCTGAGGTTGTGCACACTGGTGGTGGGAACAGGAATTATGCCAGACCCTATGTGAGCTTGAGGCATTGTTCCTTCTAATCCTTTTTGCCTTGGGTAGCTTCCTTACATATGTGCACTGGTCCCTACTTGGCTGAAGACTTGCGGCACTCTATAGCCCTCTGGGTTTCTCTCTGCAGCTCCCTGTCCTCTGCTACTTTCCCCTGTGAATTCTCACTGCTTGGTCTCCTTGGACTTCATTGCCTTTCCACAACTTGGGGAGACCACGGGCACTTTGCCTGGGTCCCCTCTTCCTGAGCACATTCCAGAAACTCTCTCCAGGATGAAGCTAGGGGCACACCTAATCTGTTTCTCATTTCTAAAGATTGCCTGATGCCTAGTGTCTTAAGCACTGTTGTACCGTGTATTTGTCCAGTGTTTCAGCTGTTTCACATGGAAGGATAAGTCTGGTACTTACTCTGTCTTGGCCAGAAGCAGAAGTGTCTGCTTGTCCTTTGAGCAGAGTTGAATGCAGGTACTTCTTACCATGTCAGAGATGGGGAGAAGAGTGTGCTTCTCCCTAAGTGACACCCTGCCCTTCTTCCCTTGCTCAAGGTGACAAGGGGCTGCCACAGGTAGGACAGTACTGTAGGGCAGAGGAGACCATGCATTTTTCACAATGTTCTGTTTCTTTCTTCCTGGGGCCTATTTGGCCAGTGCATTCATTACCAGGAGCAAGGCAGAGCAGCCCTTTGGCCACTGAGTAACCTCTCATTGCCAGAATCTGCAGCATAGTTATTACTTCCTAAGACAGCATTGATAATAGCAACTTTGCCAAGCCCACTCTCTAGTTTATAAACTCAATTGAAATGCTGAGGGAAAATAATGAAGAAAAGGAGAAGCATGATGGGCAGGAGGAGATATCAGAGATGCTTTTGAAAGGTGGACTGTCTGCCCTGATAGAACTCACTGGGTTGTATGGCCATTGTAAGGTTCCTATCTTTGTAGATCAAGAAACTACTTTATCTTTGCTCCCAAAAGCCATTGGGTCAGGGACTCAGTCTAGCTAAAGGAACTCATAAGAGCACTGTGTATAAACCAGACATCAGTTTACCTGTTCCTACTGAGAAACACAATACCCTACAGTGCCTTGGGTTTTTCCGGCAGTGCCCTGGGGTCTGCGTCTGATGCATGGATCAGAGTGGCCCCGGCAGTGCATGTGGCTATGGAGGGTCATCACCTTCCGTGGACACACATATGTTAACCATGGCTTCCAAAGCAAAAACCATGACTGTTGGTTTGCCTGGATGTGTTCTAGTTGGTAATTCATCTGTCACTTCACAGTTGCATTTCTGATTACTCACTATACTTGAAATGAATGCAGTGATGTGCCTTTAGGATGGTCCCCCCCCCAATCTGGGGTATGTGGTCGCTGCATTTACAGACTGATTGCTGGTGGTTCTCCCACTTCCAGTGGGAACCTGGGGCAAATTACCTAACTGCAGGAACTATAAATTAAGCTGAGGACAGATTAAGCAGACATTTACTTTATTAAGTAATCAAACAAATATTTATTGAGCAGCTGCTATGTGCCAGGTTAGGAAAACAGAGAAACAATAATCACATGAGTCCTGCGTATGCTTGTTTCCTAGTGGCAGTGACAGCAGTTTCTGACCGACTTGTAAGGAAGCTTCTCTCTCAGGTTCCAAACAAGCAGCTTCAAAAGGGAGCCGCTTGTCCGCGAGCTGGGCATCACCCCGTGGAAGCGGGGCTGTCTGGGTCACTGGCTCGCCGTGTGAAGGCCTGGGGTGCTCTGGCTCCCAGGGCGGGCTGCCGGGGTCACGGCCTGTCTCTCTGTCTGTTGCAGGTTTCCCCGCCTGCACAGCGCGGTGATCAGGACCTTTGTTCTCGTGCAGCATTATGCAGCCGCCATGATGGCCGTGCATGGCCTCTCCCAGATGAAGAACCACACGTCAGTGGAGACGCTGGAGATCACGCAGAACCTCATCAACTCCCCGAAACAGTGCCCCTGCGGCCACGGGCTCATGGTCCTGCTGCGGGTGCCCTGCTCGCCGCTGGCGGCCGTGGCCTACGAGCGGCTGGCCCACGTGCGGGCGCGCCTGGCCCTGGAGGAGCGCTTTGAGATCATCCTGGGCAGTGCCAGCTCCGGCATCACCGTCGGGAAGCACTTCGTGAGGCAGCTGAAGGTGGGCGCCAGGGTCAGGGACATGAGGGGAGGTAGACGCCTGGGATTGCAGGTGGGTGTGACCAAGGGGATGAGGGACGTGGAGGGGCATCAACCCCTTGACGCTGCCATCCACTGCGGCACTTTCACACCGGCCACCCCTCTGGCCGCCTCTCTCGCTGTGGCCCTGCACCCATCAGTGTAGTGGTACCGTGTTACCCATAAATGCTGCACCACCCAAACGCACGGCCTTGTCCTTGCAAGCGTCTGGCCTGAGCATGCTCTTCCTTCTCCCGAGGACTGCGTTTCTCCTCCTCCTTGGTTTAGCTAATGCTTATCAGCCTGCAGAACTCAGCTCTGCTGGAGACCCCCCCATATGGGGCCCTCCCCCAGTCCTGGGGCTGGTATGGGGTTCACTGCCTGTCATCTGGCTCTTTCTGCAGGTGTGGAGAACAGGGGCCACCCACACACCTCAGCCCACAGGCTAGCACAGTGCCTGACCCACAGCAGCTTCTCAGGGCACCTACAGATGATGGAAATGTGTAAGGGTTAGAAAGAATTTTGCACGAGTAGTTGGGTAGGAACTGTAAATGAAAGGTAGGGTGCATGGTGGAGAGGACAGAGCAAAAAACACGAGAAACAGCTGAGGATATGTACTTTCTCACAGAGAATCAGCTAGCTGGCAGGCATTCCTTGGACAGTGAATACCTGCGAGGTGGGTGGTGGTCTGTGTGGCTGGGAGCTGAGGGTAGCCGATGATGTACTTGTCTGCAGTGTAAAGAATTTTCCTTTTCATCAGAGGGCGCGTTGCGAGGGCTCTCAAACAGTAGGAGGACATGAAGGTCCCTTGGAGCTAGGCTGGTTGGAAAGTCAGGAGTCTACAGCTCTGTTTTTCATTCTCTGCAGCTGTGGCAGAAAATCGAGGATGCGGAGTGGAGACCTCGGACTTACCTGGAGCTGGAGGGCCTGCCTTGCATCCTCATCTTGAGCGGGATGGACCTGCACGGGGAGTCCCTGCCGCGGTGAGTGCAGGGGGCTGTGCCTCCGCCTGGGGAGCCAGTTGCCTGGGCCCATGGCTGGGGGCTTGCCAGGCCGGGCTTCCACGGCCCGTATGCCAGTGAGTGGCCTATGTACATTCACAGTCCTCCAGATTGTGTATTTATAGAACAGTTTTCCAGCCAGTGGCAGTGAAAGTTGTCTCTGCTGGGTGACGTTTCCTAATTTTCAGGCAGGCACTGTTGGGCTCATGGAGTTGGGATGGCTGCTCAGGGGCTCTGCAGGTAGGGGTCCAGCAGCTGGAGTTGGAGTTTAATGCCTCCCTCGGTTTCTTCCCGTTGGGGGTCACTACGGTGTGTGCTGGGATGGCCATGCCATCTGGGAAGGTATCAGACCATCTCTGGAGGTCGGGGCTACATTTTCCTCTGGGCAAGGCTGCTGCAACAGAGGGTCCTTCCTGGATTAGAAGATGTTCTGGGAAGTGGGAGGTGGCTGGTGCCATTAGGGAAGAGCCAGTTCTTCCAGTCCTCAGAGCTGACTCTCTCAAAGCGGTGTTCCCCTGCAGATCACAGTCGTGCGGAAATCAGCCACACACCCACTCAGCATCTCCCAGGGTCTCTAGACTGTCATCAGGCAAGCAGACAGTCAGGGACAGAGGCCACTGGGCCTCCAGTAAGGCAATGCTTGAACTAGTGGTGAAAGGTTGGATTTGCTTAACAGTCACAGAGAAGAGCAGGCAGCTGTGTGGCAGGGCCTTTGCACGTCTTCCTTGTGTAATAAAATAGGAAGAACTGATGTTTATTGAGTTCCTGTTATGTGCTGGGCACTGTGCTGCATTCTCTTTCTGTGCATTATCTTGTTTTACTCTCACCAGAACCCTGGGGAAGGGTAATACTTCAGTAGTCCATATAACCAATGGAGGAGCTAAAAGATAAAAGACTAAGCCAGGTGGCAGACAGTGGACTCCGGGCTGCCTGGCATCTTGCCACCAGCCTATGGCAACCTTCACAAGGGCCATTGCACACTGCATGCTCATGGGTCAGGTAGAGGGGGCTCCAAATGTTTGCCCTTGGTTGTTGCTATTTCACATGTATTAACTCTTCCATTCCCCACCTCCGTAAGGACTAAGACAATGTTTTGATCCATCTGGAATTTGAGCAAGCATTTACCAAGTTCCTTCTGTACATCAGGCTAGATGTGTAATATAACATCTACTTTCTGCAGCAGTAGTCGTCTGATCCTGTGTTACAGATGAGTAAAAGGTCATCTTTCCAAGGTTACAGGAGGAGGGAGCTGCGGAGCCCGATGGGAGCCCACACCTGCCTCTCTCTGAGCCCCTTGCTGTTGCCACCACACAGCCCTAAGCCCTGTCTTGTCCTGTCCTCCACATATTTTGTTACTCTTTGGCATCTGTCTCCCTAGACAGGCTCTTGTTTCCAACATGCTGACGGCTTGATTTCTCTCATATCTCTAGCATCTGGCATAATCCTGGGCACATTTTAAATGCTGAATAATTGAATGTCCACTTATTACATGTAATCCTCACAATGGTGCTCTTAGATGGTTGTTAATATTCGTTCTCATCTTTCAGATGAAAACATCTGAGCTTCTGATAAATTGCCCAGCTTGTGGAAGGTTCTGTCACTAGGAAGTGGCAGAGCTGAGGTTCAAGCCCCCTTTTCATTTGGCCTGAAAGTCAGCGCTCTTTTGATTATAGGCCGCACAGAGCTACATACATAGCAGGTGCCCCAGGACACTTACTATTCACCTGACTTTGTTGCCAAGGGCTCCTCGTAAGGCTGTTTGCTTCTCCATTTGCACAAGTCCTGGGTCCTAATGAGGAAGACAGGTGTCAGCCCTGGGCACTGGGTCCCCCGTCAGTGCCAAGAACGGTACTTGTAGAAGGCACTTGTTAGACACCTTCTGCCTCCCGCTAGGTCTTTGAGGTACTGCGACCTGCGCCTGATAAACTCCTCCTGCCTGGTGAGAACAGCGGTGGAGCAGGAGCTGGGCCTGGCTGCTTACTTTGTGAGCAACGACGCTCCCCTGGAGAAGGGGGCCCGGAACGAGGCCTTGGAGAGCGATGCCGACAAGCTGAGCAGCACAGACAATGAGGATGAGGAGCCGGTGACGGAAGGTGTGCCTGGGCCTCCGATCTTGGGAGCAGCCTGCACTAGTCCGGACAGCTGCCCCCCAGGCAGCATGGCCCTGGGGGCCTGTGCGATGTCAGCTTTCCAGTGAAAGCTCTCCAGATGGAAAGGTCTTTGGAGAGAATGACAAATCCCTCATCCAATTCCGATTTTGCTTTTTTCCCTCCTTTTTGGTGGCATGAGGAAATGGAAATCCCGATAAGTCTTCCTAGCTCTAGAATAGGAAGAAAAACAGATTTCTCAGGGTTGAGGTTCATGCTTTGTTCAAATTGTTGGTGAATTACTGCTTGGTGTAAGGTTCACTCATTTCCTCCACATGAACTGACTTAAACCCATGTGTCCATTATTGAGAATCAAGCAAACAGGCTAATTTCCTTTGAAAGCATGGAAATCTGACACCATGTTTTAATAGGACCCATAAATCAGAGCAGAGACAGGCATTTGACTCTAGTCAGCAGCATAGCAAGGAACCATAAGAAGCTGTCCTGCAGAAATACACAGCATGTGGGGGGTGATGTAGTGGAGATTGCCGGCATGGGGTCAGGGCGCTGGGACCTCCTCTCCTCCTTCCACTAGCTGTGTGACTCAGGACAAGCAGTGCCACCTGTCCTAGCCCCAGATTGCTCATCTGTGAGTCGGAGATTGAAAGACCTGCTGACAGGCTCCCTGGCACCTTAGTGACCTTTCACAAATGTGACTGTGGCCCTGTAGTTAAAATGCCACAGCACCCCTGCTGCCCGTGGATGGAGCCACGCTGCTGGCATTTCAGGCCTCCCCCCTCGCTGTGTGCTCCTCCCAGCTCCCAGGCCCCCACCCTGACCCATGCTGTTGGTCACACTCAGCTCAGAGTGGTGCCCTGGTGGCGCTGTGTTCCTGTCACCTCTAGGCCACACAGATGCTCTCCCACTCCTCTCTGCTTCACTGGGAACCCCTGCCAGACTCAGGTTGGGCTCACCTCTCTCAGGAAGCTTCCCTGCTTCTGCCTCCCTGTGCTGGGTGGGAGCCTAGCCTCGGGGCTCCCAGGGTCCCCCTCTGCACCCCTTACACCATCTTGTAGCTGTGACTCACAGGGAGGAGCCCCCACTGGGCTATGGGAACAGTGCTGACTGGCCTGGCATCTTATGTTTTCTGTCTTCTCAGTGCAGTGTCAGGGGTGGGCGCCTGGAGAATGGTGGATGATGGGTGGACGGGTGATGCATGGATGGGTGGGTTGGTGGATGAGTGGATAGATGGAAGGATGGATGGATGGGTGATGCATGGATGGGTGGGTGGATGGTTGGGTGGGTTGGTGGACTAGTGGATAGATGGAAGGATGGATGGGTGATGCATGGATTGGTGGGTGGATGGGTGGATGTGTGGTGGGTGGTGGATGGTTCGGTGGGTTGGTGGATGAGTGGACAGATGGAAGGATGGACGGGTGATGCATGGATGGTTGGTGTATGCACAGATGGATAAGTAAATGGATGAGTTGATGGATGGGTGATGTGTGGATGGGTGGTGGATGGATGGATGGATGGGTGGATGGGTGATGTGTGGATGGGTGGTGGATGGATGGATGGATGGGTGGATGGGTGATGGGTGTATGGGTGGGTAGATGAGTGGATAGGTGGATGGGTGATGGATGGATGGGTGGCTGATGAGTGGGTGGGTGGATGGATGGATGGATGGGTGGATGGGTGGGTAGATGAGTGGATAGGTGGATGGGTGATGGATGGATGGGTGGCTGATGAGTGGGTGGGTGGATGGGTGGGTGGATTGGGTGGATGGATGAGCAGAGGTGACAGCGGGAACGCACAGGATGTGATCACCAGGCGTTTTCGGTGTGTGTGTTCTGAAGCAGGCGCCCCCTCAGAGAAGAGGAGCCCCGTGAAGAGGGAAAGGTGCCGCTCCCACGGCTCGGCGTCCTCCTCCTGCTCCTCCAAGGCCTCCAGTGAGTCTCCAGAGAGAAAGTTGCACACATGGACCTTTTGTTCTGGTGGTTTTGAGATTTCACAAATGAAAAAGATCCCTCCTTTCCACCTAGAGCTGGAAGGAGAAGGGCTTCTCTGAAGAGCTGGACCCTCCAGGGAGCAGGCGTGTTTCTGCACTGGGTTCTGGGAACACGAGGATTTGGGCGGCACTGTGCAGCCAGAGGCTCCTGTCCCCGGGCAGTGGGGGTCGTGGGCTGTGCCCCTGCAGTGGCCTGTGCAGGGCACGTAGAGGGCGAGCCCCTTGGGGCTCCCCATGCAGCTGTGGGCTGGGGAATCCCTGCGCCGTGCAGGGGGGCGGGCGGGGTTGGGCGGACAGGAGCGGACGCACACTTCTGGGGGAGAAGCAGCAAAGGCAGTAAGTGCTCCCTGACCCCTGGACCGACCGCACTTCGGCAGAGGGAGTGGGGAATGTGGATGGATCAGCTCGGGCCCCTGCCTGAGGTCTGGGGAGCAGTCAGGCTGGCACACCTGAAACAATATCGCCTGTCTTCCTGTCACAAGCGTTACCGAGAGCTGACTGTGTGTCAGAGTCAGGGCGCGGGAGGTGCATCAGGCATGGACCCTTGTCAAATTCGTCATTCTTCATTCGCCACGTCCCGCTGCAGTAGGCACTGTTTTGGTTTTTAGGCACACATGCACACGGAAGTGTCTTGGGTAGGAGCAGATTTAGGGGGTGGGTGCGTCTGTGCAGGTTTCAGAGAGCAGCTAGCCTTCGGGCGGAGGAGGAGGTGTTCCTGGGGGGGGAGACTTCGGGAAAGGAGGCCCGGGCTGTGGAAGTGCCCGTGGGCCCGGTGCAGCTCAGTGCAGATGAGGCCTGGCCGTAAAGGTCAGACACCAGCAGGCTTGGCTTAGTACATCTTTGCTTCCTCTCTCCTTCCCCTCCTCACCCAGCTCATGGAGAGCAGTGAGCCAGGCCGGGGCCTCTCCCTCGCAGGTGTGCCCTGTGGAGTCAGGACGAGGCTTCCGTTAGCGTCAGCCTGGAGCCCTGTGACAGCAGGCGTTCTGCTCACAGGCTGGGGCCAGTCGGCAGAGCCCAGCACTGCAGCCTCCGGTGTCCTCCGCCCCAAATACTAGCAGGAGTGGGCACCGCGGAGGAGCTGACGGATGGGAGAATGAATCCCAGAGAGAAGTGGTGCTCTGTTCTCCCCCCATCCTGGCCTGGCAGCTTTCTAGAAGGCTCTGGTGATCACACTGGTCTGTGCAGTGTCTTCAGGTGGAGTAGAACATCCAGCTCCTCTCCTCCTTCTGGAGTTTCCCAGCAGGCGAGGTGACTTTGTTCGTGAGGATTCCTCAGAGGGTCCTGAGATCTCAGGGGTCTCTGACAAGATGCTTCTCACAGCATTTGGTGCAACCCCTGCATTTCAGGGTTGAGGAACCGAGGCCCAGGGAGGTGAGAGTTGGCCACAGCTGCATGAATCAGGATGGGGACTGGACAGGGCTGGGATCCATATTTATAGACTGGCAATCCCCCTGGGTTCAGCGGATGGGTCTCGGGGTGGATGGAGTGAACAGCAGGGTGGGGGTCCGTCCTCAGACGTGCCACGCCCTCACAGCCTAGGGAGTGGATGAAGCCATCAGGGTTCCCTAGGTCTACTTCTGGAGCCTTGTGCCTCTTACATGTCCTGTGTGTCTACCTGACCCCCTTGCTCCCAGGCAGGTGCCTGAGTTGCTCCTAGCCTCCCCGTCCCTGGTCCTCTGTGCCTCCAGTGAGGCCAAGCCAATCTTAAGATGCCCTGCCTGACGGAGAGGCATATCAGCCGGAGTCAGGCCTTCAGCGGAGAGCATAGGCAGTGCTTCGTCCCCTCCCTCCGAGAGGCGATCGGTAACGGAGTGCAGGATGCAGGCCATGGAGCTGGGTAGGAAGGGCCTTGCTGGGGAGCCTGTGCAAAGCTGAGGCTGCCCGGGCTGTGCAGTGCAGGCTGAGCCAAGTGCATGGGTGGTGGACAGGCCTGTCCAAGGAGGGCGGTGAGTGGGTATCCAGCCTGCCTGGGAAACAGCCTCCTTTAGTCTGTCTGCGCTCTGTACATCTCCTGGGAAACGCAGAGCTGAGACAGACAGAGTGTCCTGGCTGCCCCGCTTCCTGCAGGGCTGCTGTGGGCTGGCACGCAGGCCTGGAGTGCGTGGCTGGAATGATATTGAAGACGGGCCCTGGGTGCTGCCCCGTGTGTCCTGGTGACGTACCCTCGCCTTGGCTCTCACGTGGTAGCCTAGGGGCGGGGCCAAAAGCAGCTGCCTGTTGGGTGGCCGCTATGCCTGCTGCATTTCCTCTGCTGGTGCTTCTAAAAGCTGAGCAGGGACTGCATTCGATTACAGCCTGTTGAGTCCTGAGAGCTTGAGTGTAGTGTGGACTAGAAGCCAGCACTGTGCTGGGACGGAGGTGAGACTTGAGCTCCGTGAGCGGCACATTCCCCGGACATGTGCACAGAGGACGTCTGCACAGAGGATGCGTGTAGGTTGAGCACTGAAGGTGAGGTGTTCTGGAACAGACTGGGTCAGGTGGAGGCCTTCAAGGGGTGTACAGGGTGTTGTGCTGGGTCTGGGCACAGTCATACCATGTGGGTGACTTGGCTTCTTTCCCTCAGCAAATCTTGGCATTGTCATAGGACAAAAGAGTTTGTATTTAACCAGAGGTGGAACTTTGTTAACAAAAATTCCCAGTTTTTGTCAAGTAAAGGTAGTTTATGCTGCTGAAACTCATGGGCAGGTTTGCGACTGGTCATTCCTGGGCTGTGACTGAGAGGTTCCTCTCTCCCCAGGCTCAGCACCCTGTGGGGAGTCCTCGGCCCAGCCCGGGGAGCAGACCAGATCGCCACTCCCCTGCGGACCTTCAGAGGAGAGCAGGGCCCCTGGTGAGAGACAGAGGCCGCAGGCCAGTCAGGGACCACCGTCAGCCGTCAGCAGGCACAGCCCTGGGCCAGTCCTCCAGCCTGACTCCAGCCTCAAGACCAGCCAGAGGGGTGCCCCAGTTTTGGGCACCTCGTCTTCCCAGCTCCCCTCCCCGGGCTCGTCCTCCTCGTCCACGGCACCCACCACCAGCACACTCGTCCTGCAGGCCTCCCAGTGCTCCCTGACCAAGGCGCTCCAGCAGCCGCCCATCGTCTTCCTGCCCAAGCTGGTGTATGACATGGTCACGTCCACCGACAGCAGTGGCCTGCCCAAGGCCGCCTCCCTGCTGCCCTCCCACTCGGTCACGTGGGCCAGCTCCTTCCGCCCCCTGCTCAGCAAGACGATGACGTCCACCGAGCAGTCCCTCTACTACCGGCAGTGGACGGCACCCCGGCCCAGCCACATGGACTATGGCAATCGCGCCGAGGGCCGCATGGACAGCTTCCACCCACGCAGGCTGCTGCTCAGCGGGCCCCCTCAGGTGGGTGCCTCCCTGCTGGGCCCGAATACTGGGGCATTTTCGTGTTCCTTATTTACATCTTGCCCTTCCCCAGAGCAGAGTCTCTGATGGCCCTACAGTGGGTGGGTGGGTGGAGGTCAGGACCTCCTGCTGCCTATAACTGGGTGACCTCTGTCCTCTGACCTTTATGTAAAATGGGGAATGGAGGACTTCTGTGGGAACTTCAGACTGCAATTCTGCATTTCCCACATTATTTCATTTGGTCCTCATGCTAGTTCATGCCAGTCAAAAATAACCCCTGTGGGTCTGTGCTGGACGGTTTTGGTGAAATGTAACAGGGAGGCAGGAGGCCTGTCTGCGTGCCATCTCCCCAGTGCATTGCATTTCCCTGACAATGAAAGGCCGTTTCACTTGCCAAATGGCAGGAATCTGTCAAGTGTCATGTACATGTGAGGAGGACAGTAGGCTGGTACTGGGTCTCAGAAGGGGCTTTGCCAGAGCAGTGCAGAAGTGAAGGTGGGCCTCGGGGTGGCCTTCCTGGAGTCAAACTGTGACTCATGTGTCACCTGATGGCCTGGGCAGGATCCAGCCTCCTCCATGCCTCAGTGTCCTCATCTGGGAAGGAGGAAAGAATAGTACCCACATCATAGAAATGAGAGCCTTGAATGAGAGAAAAATTGTAGGGCCTCTAGAACGTGGCTTGGCCTGTGGAAGGCAGGTGACAAATGCCGCCGTGTCATCAGCCCCGTCATCAATACCATCATGACCACAATTCCAGGTGCGCTGCCTTCTGACTCGTCAGGCTCGCCTCCCCTCTGGGAATCTATTCTAAGAAAGACAAACCCATAAAAATATGTATAGGAATGTTCATTTGATATTGTTCAGTGAAAAAACACACTGGCAGCAACTTACATTCCACTGGTCAAGGCTGGTTGAATGAATTCGGGCACAACTGTAGCATGCGATTTATCCATAGGAAGTTTGAGTTGAATCTCTATATGCTGACATTGGCATTTCTGCAAGATATTTAAGTAAAAAAAGTCAAGTTGCAGAATAATATGTACATAGTATGATATCGGTTAGGATATCACAGAAAGGCCAAAACAAAACAAAACAAAGCAAAACAAGCCCACAGGATCACCACAGAGGTTTTCAGAAGAAGAGAATGTTAATAATAAATCATCACAGGTCAAGAGAACCTATAGCTTGTGCTTTATCAGGTGCTCTTCTAAGAATATGTTTTCAGTTAGGTGCACGTCCTAAGGTGGAGGCTCATCCCAAAATTGGGTCCCTCTTGTTCAATCCTTGCCCTTCAGTTCAATCCTTGCTCTTCCGTTTCAGTAATGCCGCCCGTTATTGGACGTTACCAGTCTTACAGTTTTTCCTATTTGATAGGTGAGAAATAGCATGATTTTGTTTGTGAGGTTAAACATACTTTTACTTTTGTCACTGGTACTCCTCTCGCAGCAATCTTCTGATCTCTCTTATTTTTTCTTCAGGCGTTTGACTTTTTCCTGTTGCTCTGTAGGAGCGCTGTAGAGATGATAGGTTTTAATCCTTTGTCTAGTATGTGTATTGCAAATACATTCTCTGAAGCTTCTCCTGGTTGTGTTTCATAATTTTCTTTGTTAACGTTAGTTGTTTCTGATCATCAGGATTTGCTGAATACTTACGGTAAACCAGGCATTGAGCTAGGAACATGGAGAACACTTTCCTGGAGCAGTGGGGTGGGAGGGGAGGGTTCTGGGTTAGCCCACAGGGGCCCATTTAGCTAACTGTGACCAAAATGAGCTAAGCCCAATGGTACGCCAGCCTGGCAGCGGGCTTGGGGCGGCAAGAGACTCTATGATACAAGAAGAAGGAAAGGGAAGAAGAGAAAAATCATTTTATATCTTTTTGTGGGCTTAGGAGGGAAAAGATGAGATGCCAACTTTTTATGTCTTGCACAGTGAGTTTTTTTTACTATATAGACATATCAATTCATATAAGAATAAAGATTTATAATTACCATAAGACTCTAAGATATTGTTTTATATTGGCAGTTCAGTTTTTGAAACAACCTTTTTTCAACTTGTGATAAAATACTCTATCTAATAAGCTTAGAAAATGTGATCAGTTAAAACTGGAGGCACATTAGTGCGATTTGCATGAGGCAGGTCTGCTGCTCCTGGGGCTACACCTGTCACCTGCCCGGCTTCTTTAGGCCACATTTCCCATCAAATGTCTTTGCACTGGTTGGGTGAGATCTTAAAGGAGACGGGCCACCTCGCATGGAGGGGCGCCCAGCCAGCACTCGTGCACAGACAAGGCTCACTGACTTCTGGCTCTACCCTGAATGTCCCCACAGATCGGGAAGACGGGTGCCTACCTGCAGTTCCTCAGCATTTTGTCCAGAATGCTCGTTCGGCTGACTGAAGTGGATGTTTACGATGAAGAAGAGATCAATATCAGTGAGTCGTCCATTGGTGACACTGGGCTTGGAGTCATCTTTAGTCAGTTTCTCTAGTGACTTTGATGTGACTTTGACTTTCCAGACGGAATTCTCAGACCAGTGACCAGATTTATGCCTTGGGTCTTGGGGTGTGTACTTTCTTTCCCTTGTTTCATTCTGCTCAATATCAGAGCTGTGTCTGGGGGGCTTTGTGGGGATGAAGTTACTATACTAAAAATAACTATTGTTTACTGAGTATCTTCCATGGGTCAAGCACTGGGCTAGGCACTTTGCATAAATGACCACATTTAATTTTCCATACAACACCATTACAAATCGCTCCATTTTCATGATAAGCAACCTGCTCAGGAGCCCAGCTGGGAGGTGACAGAGCTGGAACTGAGCTAGGTTTGATTGCTGCCTCTAGAAAGCAGAGTTACCCGTGAAGGCACTGGGGACCCGAACCACTCAGGCAGCTGAGCCCATCGGTCAGTGTCTTGGGGTAAAATGGAAGTTTGTGATATGTGGGATAAAGCCCTTTCTCCTTGTTCATGGAACTGAATTTACCCTGATTATGGCAAGGTGCTCTTTGATCAGCTGTTTATTCTAATTAATATATGTATTTCTATCATATGTATATTTGATATGCATATACCACCACAGTCAAGATAATTAACATACTCATCAAGAAATCACCACCACAGTCAAGATAATTAACATACTCATCACCTTACATTGTTACCTGTTCATGCAGCCATTGACAGATAGATGTCCGTCAGCAGATGAATGGGTAAAGAAAATGGGGTAGCTACATACAGTGGAATATTATTCAGCCTTAAAAGAGGAGAAAGTCCTACCGCTTGCACACACATCACTGCCTTAGATGCTCTTGACTGTGTTTGAGTTTTGACTTGGAGGAAATTTGGAACCAATGAAGCCCGTTCAGCCCTTGGTCCTTCCTTTGAAGGAAAAGGGAAAGACGCTGTTCCCCCAAGCTCTCCCTGAGTTTTCCACAGTCCCCCAGCCCCCCACCAGTTTGGAATTGTATTTCAGGTGGCAGTCTGCAGGCCTGTGGAGTGTCTGTCTCAACACTTTCTTGGATATAGCAGTGATAAGGAGGATTCAAGTTCCATTAAATCCACAGTAAATGTTCCCTCTTTCCTCCTTCTCCCTCCTGTGGACACGTACTCTGCCCCTACTATAATGTAGTGGGGTAAATATAGATATATAGATATCAATATCATAGATACAGAAAATCAATATGTTACATAATTTGAATTTGACCAACTATAAATTTTTTTTTACCATTTAGTCAAGAAGCATTCAGTTAGTACCATAGACCATACCAATTGTAATGTAAGAGGATAATGGCAAATGTAGAATATGTGATTTGGGCCATGAGAGGTGTTAGCATTCAGAACGGGGACACCACAGGGCTTGAGCACTTAGAAGAGGCTTTCTGGAGGTGCAGTGATAGGAGTTAAGATAGAGAGGCACTGAGATAAAAACGTCGAGAAAGAGAACTACATTAGGTTTCACTGGAGGTGGGAACCAGGGTGGTATGTTTGGGGATGGTGCTGGGGAGAAGCACAGAGCACAGGGGTCAGTATACTGGGAGGAGTTGGTTAATGTGTGTCAGAAGAGCAGACCCATCCCACAGGAAACACAGCAGAAGGCTGTTCCCCAGGATGGAGTGGAGCTGAGGGCACCTTCTTGCCTCATTAGAACAATCCTGAGAATAGGATAGGTGCCAGGGGCCTTGGTGGTACAGAGGTGTTCCCCCAGTGACCCACAGACTCAAGAACCATTCCACTCCGAGCATCATCCTATGTACATTTAAAGTAGGTCACTCTCACTTCCTATTTTGTCACATACCAGTGTTTCTACCAATTTTGTAGACCTCAGAGAAGAATCAGATTGGCATTACCTCCAGCTCAGTGACCCCTGGCCAGACCTGGAGCTGTTCCAGAAGTTGCCCTTTGACTACATCATTCACGACCCAAAGTATGAGGACGCCAGCTCGATCTGCTCGCACCATCCGAGCATGAGGAGTGAAGGTCAGACTTTGAAATCTCTTGCTTCACCTGCTGCCAGAGTACACGGAACATCCTCTGAAGGGGGTGAGCTGGGCTTTGTTAGTGATGAGCCTCATTATCTGGTGGTGGTGAATTAACTGGCAGCGCTGCTAGAGAACCGAAGGCACCACCTCCCTGACCAGGTGGCTCTTCACGGAACCCAGGAAGGAAGACTTCCTGCCCAGTAGGCGCTGACGGTGTGAGGACCCTGGGTGGTTTGTCATGGTGAGAACGGTCTGAAGGTTCTGGTTAATAGAGGGTAAAAGACGTGTATATTTACTTATGAACTTGGATTGTCGTAACAGAAGTGCGCGTTTCCCTCTCTGCCCTCAGTCTTGTTCTCTCCCTCCTCCTTCGGGGACCACTGACTTTCACAGTATTACAGCCCTGCAGGGTTTCAGGGTCACGGTCAGCAAACACTGGAAATTAGTGGCCAGTGTGATTGTAAGCACTGACTAGAAAAGTTTGGTAGATGCAGTGTGAGAGGAAAATACTCACCAGTCTTCATTTCAAACCAATAATTTTATCTTCATTGTTAGAATGGACCACTGTCCCCAAAGCGTCCTTCACATAGAACAGTCTGTAATGAAGGTTCAGTGTGAAAACCTTCATCTTGCTAAGTCATTTAAAAAATGGGGGCAGTTCATCTGCATTACGGTATTTGTATATTCAGTTGGCAGTCAGTTGACATTGTCCTGAGTGCATCCTTGAATGTGTGTTAATGAAACATTTGTAGGTCCATGAGCAAGATACCAGTGAGCAAAGTGTATTAATTTATCCCACTGAGACTCTGTCATTTCTGAGCACCTGAGTCACCTGATGGCCCAGACAGGTGAGAGGCGGTCGCACAAAATCCTGGCACAGCGTTTCGGTTGGTTTCAGTGTGAGGGGGCAGGAGGAAGAATGTTTGCTCTGCCTCCTCCTGCTTTTTAATGCTGGGGTTTTGTGCAGACAGAGGGATGTCCCGGAAGCCGGAGGACCTGTACGTGCGGCGTCAGACAGCGCGGATGAGGCTGTCCAAGTATGCGGCGTATAACACATACCACCACTGTGAGCGGTGCCACCAATACATGGGTTTCCATCCCCGCTACCAGGTAGGCCACAGGCCTGAGGCCCTGCGTCTCCAGGAGTCCTTCCGGCAGCTGTCTGCCATGCATGTCTCCTTGGCTGATGCCACTGTTCCCCTGTTCTCTTTATGTTTTCATCTGGAGTGGGAAATGGAAAGTTCTGGAAGCCCCTGGTTCCTGATCTACTTGTATCCTCAGTTGACATCAACAGTGTATAAAATCATTGCTGACATTAATGGCAAAGTTAACTGACCATAGATGATGTAATTCTCTTTATGTCTTATCATTTGTAAGTTAGTTCAGTGTGGCAGATATTTAATGAGTGCTTATTATGAACCAGACACAGAGATGAATCAACTTTGTCCCTGTACTTGACTCACAGTCCAGGGATGGAGAGATGGATGTAAACAAAACTTTGGAATAATATAAAGCTGGCAGAAGGACAAGATAGTTGAAGCATGGAAATTGTGTAGACAATGAGAGGAATTTGCACTTACTGAGGACCTGTGACGTGCCAGGGGATGTGCTAGGCACTTTTTATATATCCGTACTTCCTAACCTTTTTACATGCTAGAAAATGCTTTTTGCCCTGGACACTGGGTAAATGGATAAGGCCGCTGACCCAGGGACCTGGCTGGTCACCTGGAGGGGTCTGCATTCAAGCCACACCTGTAGTCCATTCAAGATCACTGGTTAGGAAACTACTGTCTCTTCCTTATTTAATTCCCACTAGAACCCCACAAAGCAGTAACATCATCCACGTTTTGTAAATGAAGATAGTATCTTGGACGGGGAACAGAGGAGAGGGTTTTGAAGACTCAGTAAGAGTTTGCCAAGGGGCCCAGGCAGAGAGAAGGAGAGGGAGGAGTGTGCACAACAGAGAGGAGACACGGGGTCTCTGGGCAAATTCAAAGTGGCTTTAGTGTATTGCTGGAGTGTGTGGGCAGTTTCAGCAGAGGGAGCTGGGAAGGTGAGGCCAGGACCAGACCACAGAGGCATTGAGTGCTGGGGAAGGAAAGGGCGCTTTCTCAGGGGGAACTCTAAGCAGGCACCTGATGCGGGCAAAGCTGCTCTGGGGATGGTCTCTTACTAGCTGCGTGGGTGTTCACAGCCGGCCTGTGAGGCTCGTTATTTGGAAATAGGTGGCAGGTAGGATTTTACATTTGGCATTTCTTTTCATTTCAGACCCAAGCAAGGGAAGGGGAGGAAGGGACAGCTGAAGCTGGTGGGGGAGCCAGTCAGATACCTGAGCAGCTGACACAGGTGTGCAGGTAGCTCATGTCCTCTGCTGCTTCCAGAAAGGCCTCTGACAGCAGGAGTACTGGCCCGCTGGCTTGCTCTGTCAGTCCCTTTGGCAGTGAAAAATTTCAGACAGTGGCTTTAATTTGAGCTAAGCCTTGAGCTCAGCTGCCATTGAAGCAGTATCTGTCTACTTTTAGCACTCCCTCTCAAACTATGCAATTTTACTGTAGATGAAATTAGAAAATGTGAGCAGTTTTTTAAAGGAAAGAAATTATCAGTAACCCATTTGCTCCATAAACTCCTATGAAAGTTTCTCTTTCAAGGCAGAGAAAATATAAGTGAAAACATTTTCTTGACTTTGAAATGTAAAGAACTGAAAGTCCCCAGGGCCACAGTCACTGGTCGCTTCAGCAGGTATCAGCAGTGAGGCAGCCGAAGGACGGAGCAGGGGAATCCGGTTCCGCTGGCCGCGCCTGGCCTGCGTCAGGGGTGCTCAGGTCTGGGGGCCGTAGATGCAGGGGCCTTGACGCCAAGCTACACAAGGGGTGCAGAGGGGCACTCGCTGGCTCCCTGCTGGCATTTCCTGCCTCCAGTGCCTCTGCCTTCCTGTTCTTCCCCTCATCTCTCAAGGCTCCCTGTCCTTTTTATGAAACTTCTCAGTCACATCACTTTGCTCCCTCTGGTAGGTCAAAATCTGTTTCTCTTTTATCTCTGCTTCCAAAGGGCTTTGAGGCTCTAGTGGGGCCATAGTAGATTTAAAGCCTGTGTGTCCCAGCCTGTCTGCGTCCTCTCCGGGCCTTGGAGCTCCCAGGGCTGAGCAGCATATCCTGGACGCACGTCTGGAGGCAGGCTGTCGGCTGGAAGGGTGAGGGGTCAGGGAAGCCCCCTCTGTGGATGCTGGAGCTAAGGCCTGAGGAGGCATAAAGCGAGGCCTGGGCAAAGCTGGGCTGGGAGGTCACAGCAGAGAGATCGTGGCACAGACATCGGGGAGCGCGGCTCTTTAAAGGAAGTGGCGAGAGGGGTGGGGCTAGACCCGGGGCTAGGATGAGCCCAGGACCTTGGCATGCAATGGAATGCAGCGTGTAAAGTGGACAACCTGCTTCATAGGGTTGTGTATTACAGCCTCCAGAGGATGGAAAGGGGACCTGGGCATAGTGAGTGTGATAGAGTGTGCAAGTGTATGCAGTTATTGCTACTGTTTTATTAATATGCTATTACCCATAATGCCTATGATGGAAAAATACATTTATTAGAATTGAAAATGAGATCTATGATGCAAATGCTTTGGTTGGTGACCCAGCAGGCTTCTGCATCAAATCCAGAGTCCAGAGGGGGGTTGGCACCTGAACTGGACTCACCGGGTGAAGCCTGGTCAGAATTATGGAAGGGAGCAGGCTTCAGCTGAGCAGACGTGGCCTCAGGGATGTTTGTCCTGTAGCAACATCCGGGTGTCCACACTTTGTACTGGAGTCAACCTGTAGGTTTCTCGAGCTGTTGGGGCAGGTGGCAATGACCTCAGTATAGTCATGGCCATGACCGGCCTGCGCTCTTCTGGGAGTGACTCCGGACTCTGATTCCAGGCTCTGTCCTTTCCCCTCACACCTCAGCTCTATGAGTCCACCCTGCACGCCTTTGCCTTCTCTTACTCAATGCTAGGAGAGGAAATCCAGCTCCATTTCATCATCCCCAAGTCCAAGGAACACCACTTTGTCTTCAGCCAACCTGGAGGCCAGCTGGAGAGCATGCGGCTGCCCCTCGTCACAGACAAGGTACTGGCTTTGAGTCCAGTGGGTCAAAGTGGCTGCAGGTGATCACTGAGCTGGGGACCTAGATGTGGTTGCCCAGGGCATGTGGGGCAGGGCGGGGGACTGATGTGCTGGTTGGCCGTGGAGGCTGGGGAGCACTTGGGCTCTGGGGTTGCCCTGAGTCAAGTTGGAGCCTTGCTCTACCATTTACTCTTTATACTGTTGGGAATTGTCACTTCGTATCACTGAGCCTGTCTCCTCTTCTGTAAACTTGGACAATAATAACTCTTGTAAAAGCTTGTGAGAATTCTTTGGACTAACTGATGGAAGGCTCCAGCACAGTGCCTGGAAGATAACGAGGGTGGAGCAGATGTTCATGTCTTCCACCATTCCGTCCTTTTTCTGTTATGGGACATTTTAAGTAGGCTAAGGTGGTAGAAGAGTACAGCGACTCCCTCAGGGCCTATTACCCACCTTTAGCAATGATGAACTCATGGCAGCTCTTGTTTTGTCTGTCCCGTTCTCTTCCTCTGCCTTCCTCTGTTATTTGCAAGTGAATCCTGGACTTCACATCATTTTATCCATAAGTATTTCATTGTATATCCCTAAAGGATAAAGTTCCTCTCCTTTAAGGAAGCTGCCCTTACTAATCCCTGGTCTCTGACCGCCCGCCCGTTGTTCTCACAGATGGTCTTCCTAGGGGTGCTTGGCTTGCCAGGTCCACCCTGGCAATCTCAGTGTCAACTTGCTGCCCTTTAACCAGCCCCAGGCAAGGTGACCCTTGTGTATAGTGCTGGTTTTGCTTCTCCAGGGGGCCAAGCATCCGTATAGCATTGAACCTAGTCTTTCAGACGCTCTGGTCTATTATCAAGTAATGAAAACATTCAAAGGAGCCAATGAGGCCTTTATCAGAAGGCGTGTCCTACCCCGTGGTCGGGGATTGCTCGCCTCTCCGGCCAGTTCCCATCACAACTGGTTACGAGCCTGGCGGCCTCGCAGCTGCGCAGCAGGTGCTTTGATGAATTCAGGGGGAGTGAAGACCTAGCTCGGCCACAGGAACTTTTTGTTCAGGAAAGAGTAGAAGAAAACATTACTTATGTAAAAAACATTACTTATGTAAAAGATGGCTGGGCTGTATGGTTAAGTGTTGGGGGACATAAGTCATACAGGAATAACATGTACTCAGAACGCATATTCGATGTAAACAGGAGAGGGTAACACATTTGGGTGAGTGATTGATGCTGGTTAGTTTTGGTTGCATAACACACCATTCTCACAAAAGCATTTATTAGTTTCTGATTCTGTGGGCTAGCAGTTTGGGCTCATCTCAGCTGGGTGCTTCTCCTGGGCTTGGTCCCCCTCACATGTCTGTGCTGGCCCGCCTAGGGTGGCCTTGGTGGGTGCCCACTTCTGCTCCCTGCGGACGCTGCTGGCCCCCCAGCAGGCTAGCCCAGGCTTGTTTCCGGGAGGGTTCTGAGAGAGGGTGGATCATGTTTGTCCTCTTGAGGTCAGGCTCAGAACTGGCACAGTGTTACTTTTACTGTATTTTATTACTAAAAAGCAAGTCCCAAGGCTAAGCCAGATTCAAGGAGTATGGAAAGACTCTATCTTTTGATGGGAGAGTCATTTTTGATGCTGCAAAGTCATTTTTCAAAGGGTGGGGGTGGGGTGGTAATTGTGGCCATGTTTACAAATATTTTTACCTCATTATGTCTATAATTTCCAGAGTCAAGAATATATAAAAAGTCCGACATTCACTCCAACAACTGGCCGTCATGAACACGGACTCTTTAACCTGTACCATGCGATGGATGGTGCCAGCCATTTGCACGTGCTGGTTGTCAAGGAGTACGAAATGGCTATTTACAAAAAATACTGGCCCAACCACATCATGCTGGTGCTCCCGAGTATCTTCAACAGCGCTGGAGTTGGTAGGCATTGTTTAACCCGCCCAACTCAGTAACAGTTCTGTGCATGGAGACTTGAGAGAATGTTCCAGAGATGAAAGACTCAGCACTTGCCATCAAGATTTTTAACTTAGAAAGCTATCATGGTTTGCTTGAATATTCTTTCTTCTTCAGTGTTTGGTTATTATTTGTCAATAATGTTGTCACTTGTTAGAGAAGCAAGGATAAATAGACAAATGGGTGTGCAAGTTGACAAGGAGAGTATTCTTCCTGGAAGTCCTTCTCCAAAGCCACTGGCCAGTAGGGAGTGGTCAGTGATGTGCATCAGGACCCTGGGGAGTTGGCCGGCCTCGGGGTGGGGCCTTCACGCGCACGCTTATCCTGTGTGGGAGTCCCCGTAGAATAGACCTGAGCGTCAGGGCTGGTTTTGCCCATTCCAGGTGCTGCCCACTTCCTGATCAAGGAGCTGTCTTACCACAACCTGGAGCTCGAGCGGAACCGGCAGGAGGAGCTTGGGATCAAGCCGCAGGACATCTGGCCTTTCATTGTGATTTCTGACGACTCCTGTGTGATGTGGAATGTGGTGGACATCGACTGCGGCGGGGAGAGAAGCAGGTGAGGTGCTTCCCCACACCCTGCAGGGTAAATGAGAGTGTTCTCTTTTCAGCGGGATCTCTTGGCCATGCTTTGGGGGCCCCAAAGGGCCTCTCATGTTGGGAGGCATGCTGCGTGGCGGACAGAGCCCTGCACGGCGGGCTCATGTTCCAGGCCCAGCTGTATGTTGAGTTTTCAATTTTCAAAAAACGTTATTGATATATAATACATGAAAAAAAAATCTCACAGTATATATTCAGTATAAAATATACTGAATATAAAACACACAATATGTTAGTAATATAAACAGTATAAAATACATACAAAAAGAAAATACGATATTCAGAAATTTTCACCAACTGAGCACACCCATTTAATGAATTCCTACGTGAAGGTGTGGAACATCATTGTTGCCCCAGGAGTGCCTCTAGAAGCCGTCCAGCCTCCCACCCCTCCAGCCTCACTCCTGACACCTAGCTACATTCTTATTTGCTATGTGATGTTAGGGAAGTGACTACAATCTTTTCAGGTTACAGTTTCCTCACCTTTCAAAGGGGTTCTAGCACCTGTGCTTGAAGATGGTTGTCAGGGTGCATTAGACCATGAATCTTGTGCCTGGAGGTGGGCGATAGAGCAGCACAACATAGAAGACACCCAGCCGACACAGCTGAAGCTGGACGTCACTGGTGAAAGATGGCCTTCTGTCACTTTGCCATATGAGTATTTCAAACTGAGGGCTGTCTGATGGCTTCTGATTATTTCTGGCTTTTTTTTTTTTAGAGATAACATAGGTTGGTTATCCTCCAGTGGGTTATTGATATCCTAATAGAACAATTACCATTAATCATATTCTTCTAGAAAAGTCTTCTGCATGATAGGCTTGCACGTGGCCTATGAACACCGTGACTGTATGTTCTCTTTGTGGCCCTTCCAAAGGCAAGAGTTGGGCTGTGCGCTGAGCTGGGGAAGAGAACTGGGCTTTATTCTGCCCCTCTAGGTTTCATTCTCGACGAGCAGTTCCGGTCCTGGAATGTCAGAGCTGGCAGAGGCTAGAGTTGAATGTAAGCCCCTCAGCTGGGGAAAGGAAAGCAAGGTCCCGAAAAGTTGGGCACCATGCCGGGGCTACTCCGGGATGCCACTCCCACTGACCCCGGCTCCCTGATCGTCTTTCGCTGTGTTCACAGGCCCTGAGCACCATCAGTGAGGGCGGAGGCTGCTTAAACGCTCCATTACTCATTCCCCTCTCTTTTTCTTGAAAATAATGGTAGAAAGCCTCACTCTTGCCCCACCATTTAACCTTTAGGGCTACAGATTGGGAATGTGAGGTGGTTCAGCATGATGGAAACCGTGTGGGCTCTGGAGGCAGATGGCACTGTTCAAATCCAAGCTCTGTTGCGTGACACTGGGCAGGTTATTCAGAGCCTCTGTTTCCTCATCTGTAAAATAGGGATGATGCTGCAGCGATAAGTGCTAATACACGTGAAGTGCTTAGCCTGGTGCCTGGCACTCAGGGTAGTGCTGCTGGCTCCGTCTATACCAGCCTGCCCAGCCTAGAAGGTTGGGAAGTAGCATTCTGTCTGGCTCAGAGGGCTTGGCTGCCATTTGCATGTCAGCCTAGGGATTTCAATCTCCCTCCTCCGAGCAGGGAATTTTCCTGGTCAGAAAGAAACGTCTCTTTGAAGCACATCATGCAGCACATCGAGTCGGCCCCCAACATCACCCACTATGCGCTGATTGGCATGCGGAAGTGGTCCAGCAAGGCCGGGAGCCGCCAGGTGCGCGAGCCCTTCTCCCGCTGCCACGTGCACGACTTCATCATTCTGAATGTGGACCTGACCCAGAACGTGCAGTACAACCAGAACCGGTGAGCTCCTGCCCCGCAGCAGCTGGCAGTACCACCCCAGCCCCCGAGTCCTCCACGAGGGCAGCCACAGGGGGTGACTGCTTGCCCTGGGCCTGCAGGGCCCACAAAACTTGGGCTTCCTGCCCAGAGTGTTGGGCTGGCCCCTGCTTTCAGCCCCCTTTTTTTGTTTGATTTTGTGGAAGGGAGACATTGCACTCAATGTCCTTCAATTCCTGTGATCCTTTACTTAGTGACTTGCACTGAAAATGTGTTGTTTCTCTTGCTATCGGCTCCCTTTCAGAACACATCACTTTTTAGGAGTATTAGCACTGAAGGAAACGATAAAGCAATAGCCACACATTGCTCTCTACAGATCTAGCCCAGAGGGGCTCACATCTCAAGAATGACCCAATTGCTAACACTTACTGAGGGTCTCTGTAGGCCAGGTGGTGGGCACCCCCAACATGGTCCACATAGGAGTGTCAGTTTTGGAGCCGTATCCACCTGCTTGGAATCTGGGTTCTGCCACTTACCAACTTTGCAATTTAGGCGGATGACTTAGCATCTCTGAGCCTTGTTTTTCTCAACTGTAAAGAGTAGCTAATGTTTTTGCCCTGGGAGGCTTGTTGTTTTCTTTTTAACAATAGGTGAAATGGTGTTTGTAAAGTCCCTTGCACAATGCCCGGCATGTAGCATATGGTCAACAAATGGCAGTCCTTCCATAGTGTAAGCCTTCCCTGGTGCAAACTCGTTACAGCTTGTCCATTCTTTCTTGCCTTATATGCCCTCTAGAGTAAGGTCCGCAAGGCAGGACCGAGCCTTCACCTTCATACTCCCAGTACGGGCTGCATACCCTGCATGCCTGGTCGGGGGTAACGGGGTGTGGGCTGCACCCAGTGCCATCTTCCCCTCCTTTGAGCAGGTTCACATGTGACGATGTGGACTTCAACCTGCGGGTGCACAGCGCCGGCCTCCTGCTCTGCCGATTCAATCGCTTCAGTGTGATGAAGAAGCAGGTCGCAGTGGGCGGGCACAGGTCCTTCCACATCACGTCTAAGGTGAGTGGGACCATGCACTGGGCTGGCAGGAACCGCTGAGCCAGCTGCCCAGCTGCTGGGGTACGAAAAGAGGGTGGGAACTGGAGGGGAGGCCGCATCACTGCTTGCTTGCAAGATAGTGGGATGGACCTGCCTGCTGGGTATTGTTGGTAAAGGCTTTTAATTGGCAGCCCTGGGAAGGGAGGCACTCTGTTGGGTCGCTTCTGGGGTCTCACCCTAATCAGTACCCTGTACGAGCCCCAACAGCACACCTCCACCACTAGCCTGCCCGTGGCTAGCTCGGTGCCTGAGCCCACAGTCACCACGGCTCACTTGTCTGACCTCTCCACTGGATGGAGCTCCTGGGGGCAGGTGTGGTGCCTGCTCTCCTCTGGGCCCCCAGACAGTGCCTGGCCAGATAGCCTGGTGAATGGCACTGACAGGCTCGCTTGACAGCTGTGCTATCTCTGAGCCACCCCTTGGTGGGGAGCAACATGATTGATTATGTCAGTGCTGGCTGGGCAATTTACGAAGTGAGGTTGAGCAAGTCTCAGGGTTCTGGACCTTCCCTAAGGCCATACAGTGATGGCGTATTTTTGCCTGAAGGTCTCTCTGATCCAGGGGCCAGAGCCCCATGCTCTGCTTTTCACCTCTTTCTACCTTGAATCTTGTGTGGATGGCTGACGTCAGACAATGCCAATACCATCTGCTGCTTCCAGCCTGTTCCTCCCCAGCTTCACCAACTTCTTCTGTGCCTACTGTTCCCGAGCTGGGCCACATCCGAATTCAGTTACCAGTCCCCCGCCCCCATATGCCCTTTCCTATCAGCAGGACTGAAGCCCTCTCTGGAAGTGAAAGTCATCCTCATTTCTCTTGCAAAATAACAAGACTTTTAAATAAAAGAAAAACTTGGGAGTCATTTAGTTTCCCCACCTGTCTACCATTGAGATTTCTTATTGAAGTGTGCTTAATTTATACTTTAACTAGGGAGAATTCAGGTCTTTACCATATTAAGTCTTTCTACCACAGAGCCTGATGTGCTTTTAAAACTGAATTTTCTTTGTCCCTCAGTATCATTTTTTAGCTCTTAGTTATTTTATTTTTACTCCTATTTTTCTATTAGGTGTAATTGTGTATTGATTATATGTAGGAAAGCTAGTTTTATAATCTTTCATCTGGATGAAATCATTGTTTTCACTTATTTCTTCATTAAATATTTACTGAGTACCCAGTCCCTTCCTCCAAGAATGTATAGGCTGACCCTGAGGCAGATGTTGAATATGTAGGGAAGTGCCACTGTGATAAGCACCACAGGGACATGTAACCTTGCCAGGGGCGGGAGTCTGTGCAAATACCCCTGAGAGAGTGACATTAAAGCTGAGTCCTGGAAGATGAGAAACAGCCATGTGTCCAAGTACAGGGAAGAATCTGGGTGAAGGTGCTGAGGGGGGCAGGAGTCAGGGGGAGAGTGGTGGTGATGAGCTGGAGAAGTAAGCAAGGCCTTCTTGGCCATGGGGATGTTCTAGACCTTTCTCTAGGAGACACTGAGAAACCATTGAATGGTGTCCAGAAGAGGGTCTGATTAGTTTTATTTATGTCAACAGTCTCTGGCTGCAGCACAGAAAATACGTTGGCCATGGTGTAAGAGGGTGTGGGCTCGGACGGCTGCGCAGACGGGAGGAAGGGTGGTGGGGGGTGGGCAGAGGTAGGTAGGATCTGGGGGTCAGAGTGAGGCTGACCATTCCTAGAGGTTGGCATCCCTGGACTTGGGGAAGAGTTCCCAAGGTCCCTTAGTTTTCTTATTTTTTTCCTAGGTGGGGAGGAAGGTAGGTGTGTAGACAGAGTGAATGAAGGAGCCTGCACGGATGATGTGCTGGTTACTCGAGGGGTCAGGAGAAGGGCGAGTACACAGGGCTGGGCAGGTGGGGAGAGATAGGAGCCACATGGTGGGCCTGGCCAGGTGGGCAGGTGGGCGGCTGGGTGGGAGGCGGGGTCAGGCCAGACAGTCTATTTTCTGTGTGGAAGGGAGTAATTGATGTCTACAATTCTTACTGATCACATTGATCAGTTTTCACACGTCCCACTTTGGTAAAACCTGATTTTTCCTAACAGAGAATTTTATTGTCTCAACTCACGTCATTTCAACTCCTATCAACTCTTAGGTGTTCTGCACCCATAGCAGTTCCGTGCAATGCACCTCCCACGGCAGGGCCACACTGGGGCCTGTGCAGCCTCGAGGCCTTGGGAAGGGCTTCTCTGCTCTGGGTGTGGCTGATGCTTGTTCCCCATGCAGGTGTCCAACAACCCGGTAGCCGTTGTGCCGGCCCAGTACATCTGTGCCCCGGACAGCAAGCACACATTCCTTGCAGCCCCCGCGCAGCTCCTGCTGGAGGAGTTCCTCCAGCACCACAGCCACCGCTTCTTCCCGCTGTCCCTCAGGAACCACGGCCACCCCGTGCTGTCAGTCGACTGCTACCTTAACCTGGGGTCTCAGGTAACTTTCAGAGGGACCATGGTCAAATCCGTAAATCTGAGAAGCTCCTAAAACAGATGGGCTAGAATCCGGGACTCGGAACCATAACTGCTTTACTACTTTGTCCCAGGTATTTAACCCAATATACAGATGATAAAGTAAAGGCTGGGAGACTTTGAATGGTTTGCTCCCCATATAATAAGTTAGGAATCAAACCCAATTTTTATGCCAAATATCCCTGATTCTCAAATGAATGAATGAATCGATAAATCTGGATAAGTCTCTTAGAATTGATTTTTTAGGGTATTAAATATTGTTTTTGACCCCCCCAAAACTTTGAGCTTAACCAAGCAGTTAGTATTTGTTCGGGGCAAAGCCCTAACATAATGGTGTTGAGTATTTCATGGAAGTCATGTTACCTCCTGGATTCCTTTCCAGATCTCTGTGTGTTACGTGAGCTCCAGGCCCCACTCTCTAAACGTCAGCTGCTCTGACTTCGCGTTTAGTGGACTCCTGCTATACCTCTGCGACTCCTTCGTGGGAGCCAGCTTTTTGAAAAACTTTCATTTTCTGAAAGGTAACTTTCCATACTCTTACACCAGCCCTCGACTTGAATGCCTGTGGTCACCTGGCTCCTCTGGGGAGGTGACGTCTGGTCCTACTCCTCATTTGTTAGTGGGTAAACTGAGGCTCAGGAGGACTGTGACTGCCCCCACTCTCCAGGAAAGTACAAGAAGGCTGGGATGGGATCCCAGGGTGGCTCCCTTTCCCTACACCTGTCTGGGTAAACAAGATACATCCCCTTCCTTTTAGGTGAGGAGCGGCTATTTTCAAGTTTTGTGTTCTTTTCCGTCCATTTCTTACCATCAGCGCACAGTTGCCCTCAGACACGTCCTCCTCCAGGTGGAGGAGTTCCTCCTTGGCTTGAGATCCTGCATGTTCCTTGACTTTTACTCTTAGTCTTTCTTGTCTGTAGCTTTCTTGTTCTCGTGCTGGAGTGGTTGAGAGGGATGAACATTCTTATATGACTGAAAAATATTATTTCCAATCCCACCTTCACTTCTCCCTGGCTGGCCTTCCTGCTGACCTTCTTGAGCCGGTGTTACACTTTGTGAGGCCTTGGGACTAGTGAGAGGCTAGAAACTACAAATCTCTGCCCTCAGGAAACATTTCATGTACTGGGAGGTTGGGGTATGTCAGTAGGAAGGTGGGGAGGAAGGTAGGTGTGTAGACAGAGTGAATGAAGGAGCCTGCACGGATGATGTGCTGGTTACTCGAGGGGTCAGGAGAAGGGCGAGTTCACAGGGCTGGGCAGGTGGGGAGAGATAGGAGCTGCATGGTGGGTCTGGCCAGGTGGGCAGGTGGGCGGCTGGGTGGGAGGCGGGGTCAGGCCAGGTGGTTTGCTCCATGGGCCGAGCTGAGCGTGCTCGGTTCTCAGTCCGGCTGGTCTGTCTGCTCCTGGTTCTCCTCCTCCGCCCCCTTCTTTGTCAGCATTTCTTCTGCCCCTGTGTTGTCTCACCTGCCAGACCTGCCACATAGTGGTCACCCTTGCCGAGATGAGGAAGCATCCCCAAAGCAACAGGAGTGGCTCGGACATGCGGCCCTTCCCTTCCCAGCAGCACTGTGTTTCCTTGTCACAAGTGGAGTCCAGCAGTAGCTGTTATTCGGATGCTCTCACCTGTTTCCCTCACATGCCTCTGCCGTTGTCCATGTAGGTGCCACCTTGTGTGTGATCTGTCAGGACCGGAACTCGCTCCGCCAGACAGTTGTCCGCCTTGAGCTGGAAGATGAGTGGCAGTTCCGGCTGCGTGATGAGTTCCAGACCGCCAACGCCAAGGAAGACCGGCCGCTCTTCTTTCTGACCGGACGGCACATCTGAGGGAGACACCTGCAAATTTTCCGGAAGAGTGCAGCCTTCAGAACCTCATGCTGTTGAGGCTCAGGGAGTCCCAGAGCCACGGGCTGCTGGAACTGTATGGGCCCCAGGGACTGTTGTGCAACCCCCTCGTGGTGTGTGCCAGGGAACCAGGGCAGAGGAGGATGGAGACTTAGTGAGCAACGAGGGGGAGCCGTGGCAGGCAGGAACACAAACCCATGCCTCCTGGGATTGGGCCAGACCACATTGCCCTGGGCTCTGTCGAAGTCCATTTCATGAAGAACGTATATTGTGTCATCCACATGCTTCCCTGGACAAATATGACTTTCCTCTTAGTTCTAAAGGATCACACTTGGATAATCTTGTAGAAGTGCCGTATTTCAGGCCATGGGTATGATCCTGGCTATGTAGGTTTCCCTATAACCTGCTCCAAAGCAATATTGCAGAAGAACATTTTAACTGTAAAGACCAGAGACAAGAAAAAACTGAGTCAGTCGTGTAATAAGCATTACATAATTGCCTCCCAGTTTGTTCTTTTAGCAGCGAGCCCAAAGGCATCAACTTTATAGCAAATAGGATTCTAAAACAACAGCAAAGGGTGAATACCCTACCCCTTAGAACAAAAATGAAACTTTCTGTGAAACTAAAAAGGTTTCAAAGGAAGGAAATTAGGGTTACAGAGGCTGACGCTAGGAAGCAGAATTTGCCTTTCAAAGGAAAGAGCATCAAATTGCTTACTTGAAACAAACAATAAAACAACCGAAGTGGCATATAAAATAGGTGATAAGAAACTAGACTTATGGCTATGATTTACTGAAACCCGGTTTCCGGTTCCTTAAGTGGCTAGTTCTCTTCTGCCTGCCTGGCCCTGATCAGGGAGGGAGGGGGGCAGGGATGCTCTGTGACGCTCACACTTTGACTCACTGGCCAGAGGCTTTTTAAACCAGCACATTAGACTGTCACCTGTAGGCCAGCCACTGGGCCAGGTGCTTTCACCGTCAGGATCTTGCTTAATCCTTCCAACAGCTTGGGTGGGTGGAACTATTCTCCCATTTGAAAGATGAGAAGCTTGTGATGCACAGAGTGAACAAGGTCACAAGATCACAGCTGGAGAGAAGCCGAAGCACCAGCCACACTCCTGGATCCGGGATCCTGGATCCAGAGCCTGCCTTCTCCCTACAATGTGGCCACTCCTGGAACCAAGGGAAGGTTTCAAGATCCTCAAAAATGAAACATGAGAATACATTCTTTTATGTCCATCTTAGGCATTTATTTATAAGCACTCTAGTGCAAAACAGTCCAGGAAGAAATTATTTTAAAAGATGATACCAAAGAGTTCTTATCAATCTTTTTTTTTCTCCTAAGGAAAAAGTCCTTGAGTCTGAAAGATGAGCTCTGTGTTTGTAAGATGACCGCTTTGTATATGCTCTTATTCCTACTCGGAATAAAAGTTACCTTCTTTAGTTATATTTGTCTCTTGTAAGTAGCGGCTTCTTGGGCTGTTTTCCCCATTTTATTAGTTAACTTAAACTTGAAAAAAAAATCCCAAAGTAATATTCTTGTTTGTTCCAGCCTTATAAATAAAACTTACAATGCATTTATTGTTTCTTCAGCGAGTATTACACTGTTTTGAGAGGAAGTAATGCGCGTGTGAACCCCAGGGGCCAGCTTCTTAAAATCGCATGACATGACAGAAAAGACAGTTTTGGAAAGGAAGTTATCTATAAAAGTAGGGATGTATCAATATATAGAGGAAACCCTGAGAGAAAAGGCAGACAAAAGCAGATGTGCGGAAAAAACAGAAGTGGAGGAACGCACGGCTCACAATGCAGAGATACCTGCACCAGGAAGATGGCGTTGGGGTGCTCTGAGTTTTGGAGTGGCTAAAGGAACTGAAAGAGGGCCTGGGCATTTGTCAGGCTGACTGGCTGAGGAGGTAGTTGAGGCAGCTCGGCCACTGGGTTCCCCCCAGCTCTTCCTGCACACCTTCCAGACCCCACCAGCCTGTGCAAAGCAGCTGGCCAGCCCTTGCCAAGGCCAAGGCAGAGGAGGGCAGAGGCCTAGACTTGTGAACGGCTAGCTACTGGCACACCCCGCCCCATGGCACTGTCTCCCCCGCCACGGTGACTTGAGGTAGTTTGTGGTGAACAGAATTAGCAAGCAAACAGGAACTCCATAGTATAGAAATAAACACACAACTAAGACTCATAAAAAACATAGGGAATGTTATAGAGTGAAAGGTTGTAACTTCAATAGAGGATCAGTAAAGCAAACAGTCCTATAAAACAAGTGTGATTCAAATCCGAAAAGAGATTATATCATATCCAGAACAAAAATGATCAATTACAGATCTTAGAAATGTATAACTAAAACCTCAGTAGGGAGATGAAGTAGCCAGACAGATAAACTCAAGAGTGAAATACCTGGAAGGTGCAGCGGGAGAAAACCTCTAAGAAGACAGCAGAAAGGGTTGTTTATGATGTGTGTTAATAACTCCTTTTCCCCTCATGCAGGCCTGCCGCCTGGGCCACTGCCGGGCAAGCACCCACCTCGGGCTGTCGTTTCCCCCGCCTGGCATGCTCTTCCCCTCACACCGCTGGGATCCCTGCCTCATGGCCCCTGGGCCTTGACGTCTCAAGGGAAGACCGGGAACCAAGGACATGTCCAGCGTTGATGGCTTTCATTTGCTTTTCAGTCTACTTGTTTAGGCAGACGTCCCAGCTCAGAAGGAATCAGCATTTTAATTAACAAAACAAAGGCCAGGGCAGAGTTTTAAAGCCCTTCATGTCTAGGGAAGAAGTAAGAATTCCGTGACTGCGTTTGTCATTTGCCCAATAAATATACTGTCCCAGTTTCCCTTTGCTTTTCTTTCTAAAACTCTGGGGAGCGCTGATTTTTCTCTTGGGATCCCTGGCCACTCTGATTCTTATTCTTGCTGTAAAAAAGGATCGTTCCCAGAGAGGGCAATCCACCCTGCTAGGAAGGGCGGGCTTCGGTCCTGTTGTGAGTTGAATTATGTCCCCCTCCCCACCAAAATATTGAAGTCCTAACCCCTAGTACTTTAGAATATAATCTTACTTGAAAATAGGGTTGTTGCTGATGTAATTACAGTTGACCCTTGAACAACCAGGAGAAGGTGCCCATCCCCAGCAAGTCGAAAATCTGCATATAACTTCTGACTGTCCAAAACCTTAACTACTAATAGCCTACTGTTGATGCGAAGCCTTACTAGTAACATAAACGTCAATTAACACTTATTTTGTACATGTTCATATGCTATATTCTTACAATAATGTAAGCTAGAGAAAATAAAAGGTTTTTTCAAATTGTTGCAAATCTCCAAAAAATTTTCCAATTGTTGAAAAAAAACCCCACAGATAAATGGACCCATGCAGTGCAAACCTGTGTTGTCCAAAGGTCAACCATTTTCCAGGCAAGGCTGTGAGTGTTAGGAATCTGTTTACATGCTTGGTCCAGGGCCTGCTTGTAACTGCCTAGTGCAGAATGCTGCAATGAACCTGAGGACACGCAGAGAGAATTTTTCCTTCCTTGGCAAATTGCCTTAAAATTTCAGGAGTTGAAATATAAGACCTGTTTTCAAACATTTCTGTGGCTTTCAAAATTTATTACCAATTTTTTTGCAAGAGGGTTATCTAATGTTTTTCTCCCTCCAGTATATGAGCACATTGATTACACCCCACTTTTGCTGGCAATATTTGTTCTTGCCATTGCCATTTAAAAATTTTGGCCATAAAATGTTGTATCACTATAGTTTTATCATCACCTCTTTAGGAACTATCGGAGCTGAACATAATTCCTCTTGGGGGTTTCTTGGTCTTTGAGATCTTGCTATTCTGCTTAATGATTTCTGTGAGATCTTTGGGTAATATGTGAAGTAACTCCTTAAGTCTCATGTTTGCTTTAACTGTTTTCTCAATCTGTTTCTGTTAGAATGTGGTTCTACTGTTTTTTGCTGTGCTTTGGTAACATGTAGTATAAGGGGTGTGTGCTTCACTCACGGGGCTTTGTGCAAGGGGCACCTTGCTGGGCTCTACCCAGTTAGAGGTCTAGGACAGCAATGATGACAAGTAATGGCAGTATGTGTTGTATGTATTCGGCACTTGCTGTGTGGCAGCACCCTGCTAGGGACTTAACATTCTTTACCTATTTAATCATTATAAACATTGTTAGGTACTATACAGATCCACAATCCCTTATCTGAAACTCTTGGAGCCACGTGCATTTTGCAATTCAGAGTTTTTCAAATTATAGAAAAGCAACATGGGGCATGTACTACAGATCATGTAATGGCATTGGCAAGATATTATGGGCTTAATGTTTGTGTTGCCCCAAAATTCTTATGTTGGTGCTCAACTTCTATTGTGGCTGTGTCTGGAGATGGGGTCTCGAAGAAAGTAATTAAAGCTGAATGAGGTCGTAGTGGTGGGGCCCTGATCCGATGAGATGAAGGCCCTGTCCTTTTAAGAAGAGATACCAGAGGGCTCTTTCTGTCTCTCTTCCCACCCATGTAGAGAGAGGTCATGTGGGTCTGCAGCGAGACAGCAGCTGCCCATGAGCCAGAAGAGAAGCCTCAGAATAAAAGCTAACCTTGTTGGCCCCTTGACCTTCCCAGCCTCCACAAGTGTGAGAAAATGAGTGTCTGTTGTTTTAGCCCCCAAGTCTGCAGTGGTCTGTCCTGTGGCCCCAGCTGACACCCAGAAGCTTGGGGGATCCCCATAATCGATCTCATTAAGTATTCTACAGCAAAATGTATACATATAGGCCTATGAAGAAGGATAACAACTATAAATTGCTTCACGTCCAGCTCAGGTTTTGCTGATCTAAATCATTTTTAAAAAATTGGATTTGAGGGCTTTGTACCAGCAGTTTGATAGATAAACAGACTCAGGGAGATGAATTTGCCCAAGGTGGCTGTATACCACTTACAGAACCCAAATCAGGTCCATCCCAGGCCCAGCCGAGCTCTGCGCCAAGCAGACCACGCAGGCTAATTGCTTCACGCTCCATGTCCTGGAGCTGTGCCGAAGTTTGTGCTGTGAGTTTGCTCTTTCCTACCTCCCCGTGCTCTGAGCTTTCGGTAGGATGGAGGAAGGTGCCTGACAACCTCCCCCTTAACCAAGGGGCTCCAGAAGATGGGCTTTAAAATCAGACTGTGTGGATCCTCAGCCAGCATCCCCGAGCTCAGCCACACTGGGCAGAGAGGGGCACCCGGCAGGCGGGGTATGAGCTCCGCCACCCCTTGCAACCACCTCCAGCCCTGGGTGATCTCAGGGCCGACCCTCAGGGCCTCCGTGAGTCCCCTGGAGCAGTGCTGCTGGGCCCTTCTCTCCCTGTGGCACTGCCTCTCTCTGATGGGGGGCACAGGTGCCAGAGAGTGGACCCAGCCTGGGGCAGCTCTCAGTGAGTTGCTTCTAGTCTCTTCCTTAGGGTGCTGAGCTGGGGCTGCAGGACGATCACCTCCTGGCCCAGTGGAAGCCACTTCTCAGCATCCTCCTCTGACCCTTCCAAGCTCGTCTCAAACAGGTTACCAGTCCTGTGTGCCTGTGTGATGTGTGTTCACCTGTAGATGTGGTGCATGCGCACAGGGTGTGTGTGAGCAGGTGCTGGTTACACAGGTGGGGGCCGGGTGGTGACGGTGGGTCAGGGGGTGGGCAGAGCTCAGGAAGGCATCAGCATGGTCAGGCAGAGGTCAGACAAAACCTGTGCTTGGTCCTTCTGTCCTGCTCCCCACTTTTCATACCCACTGGCAGATCCATGGCTTTAACTGCTAGACACCTTGGGAAATCACCATTTCTCTCTTGGCTCAGGCCTCATAGATCTTTAGGAGCAAGGCTGGCGATATCAAGTGGGACCTGACCCGGGAAGGCAGCAGAGGGAACTGAGGCCTGCCCAAAAACGGAAAGAGCCTGTCCTGATGAAAACGAATGGAACTTGACTCTTTTCTAACCTAGACTCTGCTCCCAACGCTTGTCCATGGGCCTCGCATTCTCTGAGCAGGAAGCATGCTGCTGCTCCCAGGTGGGTCAAACATCAGTCATCCCACGGGCCAGGAGTGTCAGGTGGTCACATGGGCCAGAGGCTGGGGGAGGGAAGCTAGTGACCCAGCTTTCCCGAGCTTGGGGCATGCTGCTGTGGGTGTGAACTGCTGACTCCCACTAGGCGACATTAGAAAATTTTCCTACAGCTCATGAGATACAACAGCCCAGTCTGCTTCTGCAGCATGGTCATTTGTCATTTTTGGAAACTCGTAGGACATCTGGGCCCATAATCTATGAGCATGAATCCACAGAAGAAAGTGGTGGATTTCCGGGATAGCAAAAACCAGCAGTAATAATAATGGTAACTATAATGACGATAAAAATAATGCCAGCGAAAATGTCTTATTACACACCAGGCACCGTGCTAAGCACTTTAATCCTCAAACAACTCTAAGAGATGGGTGCTGTTCATCTCCACTGCACAGGTGAGGAGACTGAGGCTAAGAGGTGCGAGTGAAAGGCCTGCAGTTACAGCTTGTAAGTGGCCAAGCAGAGGGTCCCTGTAAGTCCATTGACTGCAAAGCTTGAATGTTAGTGA